CGTCAAGCAGGCGGCGGGGCCGCGATCAGGAGAGGTGGCGGGGCCGCGTCTGAGGGACAGCGGGGCCGCGAGGGTAAAGGCGACCCGAGGGGTCGCTAAAAAAAAAGGCGCGCCTCGGGGCGCGCTTCGGTGGGCCCTAAAAAAACGGTCCTAAGGCAGGACCCGCTCTATACCATGTGAAGCAAGGAAAACAGGAATGAATGTGACTAAGAAAAGATTGGGTACAAATACAACCCTAGAAACCGTGTACCCCATATGTGCTACCCCACTATAGCCTACAGCAACTATGTCATATAAATCTGACATTGTGATCCCCTGTTCTCCTCCACTTTGCCCATGGGGGTGTGTCAGACTTATATGACTTAGCCTATGTAGGCTATAGTGGGGTAGCACATATGGGGTACAACACATTTCTAGGGTTTGTACTTGTACCCAACCTTTCCCTTAGTCAATCATTCCTCATTTCTTCACAAGTTGCGCGCCTCGATTGAAGTGGCGAGCAATAGTGACGGCTTTGACGCACGGGGCTTGGATGTAGTCAGGTGTCGATGAAGGCAATTTAATTAGCCCCTTGTACTTGCTGATGCTGCACGATCCCGTTGTCCAGTCGATGATGGGGTTGTGCCGTCGCAGCCAATCACGTCCCGTAGCACGTCGCAGCCCTCCAGCGTCGTCGCGAGAAACTTTATGCTGAAGTCGGAATCGTCGACGCATTCAATCCGCACCGTCTGTGTTTCTTCCAAAATCGCCAGAGGCGTCCCATCCACGAGGGGAGCGTCGATTTCGGGCAGACACCTGTCAAGTTGCAGCTTGCATTTTTTTGCTGTCGCCAAGTTGAAGAGGCTATGGCTGGCCCCTCCATCGACGAACATTTTCAAGTAATTTTTAAACACTTTGCCAACGACCAGCACAGGGTGATCCACATGGTTATCCCCGTTATTCGGCCAAGTGCGATCGATGTTAGAATAGTAGGAGGTGGGGCCTAGGCTTAGTAGCCTAGGCTCACACTAGGAGGTAGGCAAGGTGCTTTAGAACTAGGACTTAGGGTTTGGGAGGGAGAATTGGAAGGAAGGAATGATGGACTAGCAAGCAGCAGGACACACAAATAGAAAACCCTAAGGGGTTGTACTCAGTATTGAGCACCCCACTGCAGGCTAGACAAATAACATTCTGACACACCCCCATAGCCAAAGTGGGGTGTAATCAGCAGAGCAGGCAAAGCAGTACAAGCTCAGGGTGGATCACAATGTCACCACACATTCTGAGCACAAGTTAAAGAAACAATAGTTTAAAGTTAAGAAATATGAGCAAAGCTGGTGGTAGTCACAACGGGCAAGTGAGGAGGAGGTGAGAGAGTGAGGGGAGAGGAGATAGGAGGCGACGGCTGAAGCTGCAGACACACGGGCAACAGGAGGCAGACTGGCACAGCGGCTACCGGACAGCGCCCGGACTACAGGAGTAACAGGCCCCGCGGCTCAAATAGCGGCGGACGGGCAACGGACCCACAGGCGGCTGGCGTAGAAGTCTAGCTCACTGGGCTACCGGGACAGCGCCCCGGACTACAGGTGCTGCGGACTACAGTACGGCAACTTCCATGCAGCTTCCCCAAACAGTCCCACCCCCCTGACACACACCCGCTGCTACACCGCTAGCTCCACTCCCACGCACGCCCCTTAAACCCTAAACCCCAGTCTCCCACACAACCACCCCCCTCAGCGACAGCTGCAGCGTTGGGAGACGAAGGAGGAGGAGGAGCAAAGGGAGGAATGCACACCAGCCACCCCCATACCCGCAAACGGGGGGGGGGGGAGAGCAGAAACAGTGCGCACGAGGGCGCAGACAGTAGCAGAGCGCACGAGGGCGCAAGGACGAGGCACGAGCAGCACAGGCACAGGCAGCAACAGGCACGGGCAGCACAGGGCAGCACAGGCACGGGCAGCAACAGGCACAGGCAGCACAAGCACGGGCAGCACAGGCACGGGCAGCACAGGGCAGCACAGGCACGGGCAGCAACAGGCACAGGCAGCAACAGGCACAGGCAGCACAGGGCAGCACAGGCACGGGCAGCACAGGCACGGGCAGCACAGGCAGCAGGCAGCACAGGGCATACCGGGTCCAGGGGCGGCGTCTGCTGGGGCGGCTGCACCTGGGGCTGCTGCTGCAGTGGCGGCTCCAGGGGCTGCTGCTGCTGGGGCGGCTGCTGCTGGGGCGGCTGCTGCTGGGGCGGCTGCTCCATGGGCTGCTGCTGCAGTGGCGGCTCCAGGGGCTGCTGCTGCAGGGGTGGCCGTTGCAGGGGCTGCTGCCGTTGGGGCGGCTGCTCCTGGGGCTGCTGCTGCAGTGGCGGCTCCAGGGGCTGCTGCTGCAGGCTCTGGCGGCAGCTGCTGCTGCTGGGCGGCGGCGGCTGCTGCTGCAGAGCGGCGGCGGCTGCTGCTGCTGGGTGGTGGCGGCCGCTGCTATAGGCTCTGGCGGCGGTTGCTGCTGGCTCTGACGGTGCCCCGCGGGTCCTGCACGGACGCCGCGACGAGCAGGGGCGACGCCCCTCGGGTCCCGCACGGACGTCGCGACAAGTAGGGCGGCGCTGCGCGGGTCCCGCACGGACGTCGCGACGAGCAGGGGCGACGCCCCGCGGGTCCCGCACGGACGTCGCGACGAGCAGGGCGACGCCGCGCGGGTCCCGCACGGGCGTCGCGACGAGCAGCGGGGAGGGCAGCGCGCAGGCCCTCCCGAGGGCGCTTCGACAGACGGGAAAACCGCCGCGCGCCCCGAGCGCACGGCAGGATTAAAAACTCCGAAACCCTAAAAAAAATTCGCCGCGCGCGGAGCGCGCGGCAGGAAGAAGGACTGCAGCGGAAGCATAGGGGCCCACAGGCCAAGGGAGAACGGGCTCTGATAACATGTTAGAATAGTAGGAGGTGGGGCCTAGGCTTAGTAGCCTAGGCCCACACTAGGAGGTAGGCAAGGTGCTTTAGAACTAGGACTTAGGGTTTGGGAGGGAGAATTGGAAGGAAGGAATGATGGACTAGCAAGCAGCAGGACACACAAATAGAAAACCCTAAGGGGTTGTACTCAGTATTGAGCACCCCACTGCAGGCTAGACAAATAACATTCTGACAATCGATTCCATGAATCGGAACCAAAACTCGGTGGGGATGATGGTGTTCGGGCGACAGAGCACAGTTAGTAAGGGGCCTGTCTGTTACAGACTCTTCCCATTTCCCAGCTCTTTCCCGTCGTTCCTCTTCGCCGGCGTTCTCTCGGGGCAGTCAGCATATTTGTGACACGGCTTCCCGCACTTAAAACACAACCCTGTGTAGGGGCGGGTTGGTGCATGGACTCCGTTGATCATGGCCCGTTGGGTCTGGCCGCGAAAGCGATTTCCCTCCCGGAAACTCGACCTCGCGTACTGCATCAGCGCGTCCGTGGATTCTGCCAACCGTGCTGCTTCCAGGAACGATGTCGGGCGGCATCGGCGCACCTCGTGCTGTATCTCATATTTAAGGCCGCTGACGTACTTATCCAACCGCTCCGCCTCTTACATATTGTCCACTTGGTCTGCGAGTGCCATGAATGACGCTGTGTAGTCTTGGACAGATGCCAACTGCGACTAGGCACGCAGCTTCATGCGAGCTTGTTCCGAGCCGGATATGTGCTCGAAGCGATCTCGTAAGGCTGCGCCCCACTCCTTCCACGTGCGTATCTTGGTCACGCCGAATATCGGTGCTGCCACTTGATTAACCGACGTTTAAGTCCCGTCTGCCGCATGTGTCACACCTGTCGGGGTCCCCGTGTCCAAGGTTCGGCGCCACCACTCAAGCGCTGCGCCTCGAAGGAGAGAAACCGCGTAATTAATACGCGTGGCGTCGTCGTTCACACCTGCTGTAGTGAAGAAGACTTCAACGCCGAAAAGCCACCCCTTAACTGTAGTAGTCTTGTCCGTAGGGTTGAACGGGGGCGGGTTGACGAGTTTAATCTTGATCGTCGTTACTGCAATTGGCGTCGCTGCCGCTCGCTGCCTATCCTCTTCTTCAAAATCACGTGTGAGCGCGTCCAACGGGTTGCTCACCGCTTGACTGTTGCCCTCGCCTTCTTCATCGGGCGACTCCTGACGCGCTTCACCTCGCGTCTGGCGTAGCTCGGCGTTTTCTCCTCGTAGTGTTGTGACTTCTGCTGATAGAGTCTGCACTGTTGCCTGTAGCTCTGCCATTTGCGCCAGCATCTTGTTCAATGTCTTCTGGTCCATGAGTCGCACGCTTCGTCTGGTGGGTAGAGGGGTATCCGTGGCCTTCCGGTGAGTGAAAAACACGAACTATCGGAGTCGGGCAGGATTGAATTAACAAACCTTGCAGCCAACCGTCGTGTAGTCCACTATACCGACCACACCCGTGCCACCAAACTACCCTCGAAAAGCGGGGTGAACTAGGAAAGTAGCTCTGATACTAGGTGTTATGAGTTGTAAAAGAGAGTGCGCGGAATAACAAATAGCGAAGATGTGACTCAATGAACTGGCAATACAATGAAGGAACGCGCTAATATAGTGGGTCAACCTAGCTAGGTGGGAACCTCAGGAACGCGAGGTTGGGTGCAGGTTGGGCAAAGGAAAGGCTGAAGGCGACGCGAGGTTGCTTCGGCAGCAAGCAAAGTGGCCGAACGTGCACTTCCGAAAGTTGGGGTTGTACGCGGTTGAGTAAAGTAAACCCCTGTAAGAAAAAGAGTTTTTCCTTACACTGGTAAAGCCAGACCACTTAGGAAACTGGATTAGCTTACTCTTAACGAGCTCTCATCTGCAGCGGAACATTTTCTTGGGGATTCCACGCAGTACCTTGGGTTCGCCTCGAGCTTCGCTCCACGGCTTCACTCTGACCAGCAGTAAAACTGAAACACACGCCGAGCAAATAACATTTTAACAGACCACTGCAGTTTCTACTGGCAATCTGATGGAGTACTTGACCCGATCATAGCAACCATAGTCTGCACACTCGCGTGCAAAGGCAGGCGAGGCGATGCAGACCTTTCGCGTGGGTGCGCACGTGTGGGTGCCGGACCCTGAGCTCGCGTGGGAGGAGGGGTGCGTGGTGGAGGACCTGGGGGAAGGCAAACTGGCCGTGAAGATCGATAACCCCGGCAAGCCGGACGTAAGGCGACTGTTTCGCACTGTTGCGCGGAAGTTACTGATTTTTGTAGGCGTCAGAGATGCGTCGCGCGTGGACCGGATTTCTGACTGGTCATGTGGACGCGTTTCGCAGAGGTCATTCCGTTTCTGGGTTGACATTATCCATTCATCCTTCTTGATACGATCCCAGTGGACTGACGCGTCCTCGGCTCTGTCGCAACGTCGTTATGAACCTCTACTCCATGCAATTAGAGCAATGATCTCGTTTGTCCGTCCATCTCGTTCCCGCAGCGCAGCTGTGCTTTCGCTTCTTTCCCGATAGTCCCCCTACCGTCTTCTTTCCCATCACCTGCTTCCATTACCATCGTCCCGTCGTCTCATCGTCTCCGTGCTATCATCCGCGGCAGATTCGTCCCCAATGGCAATCACATACGGCTCACGCCTCACTGCCGTCCTCATTCTCATCCCCCCTCCCCGCTCTGCACGGAAGCTATGGGAGGTGCACGCGTCGCTGAGCTGTATTCGTCCAACAGCCCACTGACGGACCCAGGCGGTTGCTATCATTCATAACAATCTCCACCCCTCCCCTCATACTCGCTCCCATCGCCCCGATCTCCCTCCCCTGTGGCAGCTATGGGAGGTGCACGCGTCGCTGTGCTGCATGCGCGAGCCCCACGCGTCAACATTCAAGACAAATTCATCAATCCCCTGCTCTTACACTCATTCCCATCTCCTCTTCCCCCCCCCCCCCCCCCCCCCCCGCAGCTATGGGAGGTGCACGCGTCGCTGTGCTGCATGCGCGAGCCAGAGGGCCCGCTGCTAGACCCAGGCGGTTGCATGTTCTCCTCCCTTCCCCTCCGCTCGTACTCACACCCTAGCCCCTGCTCCCCCCCCTCCAACAGCTATGGGAGGTGCACGCATCGCTGTGCTGCATGCGAGAACCCGAGGGCCCGCTGCTGGACGACATGGTTCGCCTCACGTGCCTGCACGAGCCTGGTGTGCTCTCCAACCTCTGCCGCCGCTACCGTGCCAACCTCATCTACGTGCGTCCTCCCTCTCACTCGCGCCCTGCTACCCACCCACTGTTCCCCCTTAGCTCCTTGCCCAGAGGTGCAGTTTTTCCTTCTTTCAGCCCCTGGTGGTTCTAGAATTTTAGAAGTTCTTGTTCTGTTCCCTGTCTCGACACAGCTCAGCACTCTGTTATTCCTGCTTTCCCTCTCACACCATCTCCCAGCCCCTCCCTGTTTCAACTCCCTCGCTTTCACTTTTCCTCGCTCCTCCCGTCCTCCATCCCTCCATTCCCCTCCAGACGTACACAGGATCTATCTTGATAGCGCTGAACCCGTTTGTGCGCATACCCGGGCTGTACGACGCAGCAATGATGCGCCAGTACCACGGCGTGCCCCTCGGCCTGCTCTCACCACACGTCTTCGCCACTGCAGAGAACGCCTTCCGGTACGCTTGGCGCGTGCATGCGCAGAATCCCCATCCACGCTCTCCCTCCCAGTATGACCACGATCCCTTGCAGTAACACTGGTAGCAGTCAAAAGGTAGCCCTGACACACACACACACACACACACACACACACACACACACACACACACACACACACACACACACACACACACACACACACCCAACACGTGTCATGCCATGGCATGTATTATGTAGCAAACATCACCTTCCATGCCATGCTGTAGGGATGAGCAAGGTGGCGAACACCTGTTCGGTTCGCCTCGAACGTGTTCGAGGCGAACCGAACAGGTTTTGTTTTTTAGCTCAAATCGTTCGCCGAACAGTGTTCGATGTTCGCCCGAACACGTTCGTGTTCGGGCCGCTGCTGAAATTTGCCCGCGACGAACACGAACAGTGTTCGAGGTTCGCCCGAACACGCCTCCACAGGCGAACAGCGAACACCTGTTTTTTCCTAAACTGTTCGCCGAACCGAACAGTGTTCGGTTCGGCAAAAGAGGGTGTTCGACAAGGGGCGAAGACGAACATGTTCGTGTTCGCCCTTTGCTCATCCCTACCATGCTGTGTGCAACCCGCTGCACATGCACGCAGGGCCATGAAGGAGGGAGGTCGCAGCCAGGCCATTCTGATAAGTGGGGAGAGCGGAGCCGGCAAGACAGAGACCACGAAGCTCATCAGAGAGTACCTCGCTCGCGTTGTTGCTCTCACCCACTCCGCCTTTCTTCCCTCCCTCCTCACCACTGTCTTCCCCACTGCTTATGCGCACACACAGGGCCATGAGGGAGGGAGGTCGCAGCCAGGCCATTCTGATAAGTGGGGAGAGCGGAGCCGGCAAGACGGAGACCACGAAGCTCATCATAGAGTACCTCGCCCGCGCTGCTGCCCACAGCGACCCCACCTCCCTGCCTTCCCCCACCACCGTCCTCCCCATTCCCTCCGCCTCCCTCCCCGCCCTGCACATCCACCCGCCTGGCTCGACCTCCGCCTCTCCAAGCATAGAGTCCCTTGTTCTTCAGGTAGGTCTGATTGTTTGCTATGTGGATGGTAACCATAGGCTATCAAACGTGTAGTTGGGTCAAATGATGCTAGTGTAGATGATTTTGGGAGATACAGGACGTTGTAAAAAATATCTGTTATATACCTTTTCCCTTGGTTCTTCTTCTAAGCGTTTTATATGAATCTAATCTACCCGTTCTGTCTCACTCACTCCTGCTGGCGTTTTATATGTGTGCAGGCCAATCCACTTCTGGAGGCATTTGGAAACGCCAAGACTCTCAGGAACAACAACTCAAGGTACCCATACGATTGCCACTGCCCACTCGCCTCTTTCTTTTAACAAGCCACTCATCGCAACCACCATTATCCCTCCTCTTGCCATTCCTGAGTGCTTGCCCCCTACCCACCACCGCAGCCGCTTTGGCAAGTTCATAGAGCTGCAGTTCGGGCAGGGGGGCGGGCTGACGGGAGGGGTGGGCTGTGGGGTGAATCGTGCTTCAACTCAACTCCCCTTTCCATTGCCATCATGTGCCCCCTACCCACCTCCGCAGCCGCTTTGGCAAGTTCATAGAGCTGCAGTTCGGGCAGGGGGGCGGGCTGACGGGAGGGGTGGGCTGTGGGGTGAATCGTGCTTCAACTCAACTCCCCTTTCCATTGCCATCATGTGCCCCCTACCCACCTCCGCAGCCGCTTTGGCAAGTTCATAGAGCTGCAGTTCGGGCAGGGGGGCGGGCTGACGGGAGGGGTGGGCTGTGGGGTGAATCGTGCTTCAACTCAACTCCCCTTTCCATTGCCATCATGCGCCCCCTACCCACCTCCGCAGCCGCTTTGGCAAGTTCATAGAGCTGCAGTTCGGGCAGGGGGGCGGGCTGACGGGAGGGGTGGGCTGTGGGGTGAATCGTGCTTCAACTCAACTCCCCTTTCCATTGCCATCATGTGCCCCCTACCCACCTCCGCAGCTGCTTTGGCAAGTTCATAGAGCTGCAGTTCGGGCAGGGGGGCAGGCTGACGGGAGGGGTGGGCTGTGGGGTGAATCGTGCTTCAACTCAACTCCCCTTTCCATTGCCATCATGTGCCCCCTACCCACCTCCGCAGCCGCTTTGGCAAGTTTATAGAGCTGCAGTTCGGGCGGGGGGGCGGGCTGACGGGGGCAGCGGTGCGCACATACCTGCTGGAGCGGTCACGAGTGGTACACATCGCAGACTGCGAGCGCAACTACCACATCTTCTACCAGATGTGCCAGGGGCTCTCCAATGAGGTGAGCCGTGTACAATCACCCTGGAAGAAAATTCGCTGCAGCTGCCCCCAAAACCCAGCATGTCCATGAGGTGAGTCATGTGCCAGCGGCTGGCTTCCATGAGGTGCGCAGTGCAAACATACCTGCTGGAGCAATCACGTGCGGTGCACATTGCAGGTTGCGAGCGCAACTACCACATCTTCTACCATGTGCCAAGGGCTCTCCAACGAGGTGCGACCATGAAGACGTGTGCGTGGGAAAAACGTCTTGCTGCAGCAGCCTCTAGGCCCCAGCACTCGTTCACACCACTTTCACCATGAGTTCCTGCTTTCACCTGCATGTCTACTCATGTCTCCCTACTTCTCCCTGCCACGCTCACTCATCCCAGGGCACTACTCTACAGCTGCTCCCAGACCCGAGCACACGAGCACACCACTTTCAGACCTCCTGCTTTCACTCCATCTGCCTGTCTACTCGTGCCCCCTCTTTCTCCCCTTATCCAACAGTGTCCTTCAACTCTTTCCTTCACCATCCCATCACACAGGAAGCAGCAGCGCTACAACTGCCCCCGGATCCCAGCACGCGCGCACACCACTTTCACTACCTCAACCAGAGCTCCTGCCTCCACCTGCCTGTCTACTCATGCCTCCCTCCATGACCCCTTCAACAGAGCTCCTGATTCGACCCTTTCCTTCATATCCCACCATGCAGGAAGCAGCGGCTCTGCAGCTTCCTCCAGACCCCAGCACGCGCGCCCACCACTTTCACTACCTCAACCAGAGCTCCTGCCTCCACCTGCCTGTCTACTCATGCCTCCCTCCATGACCCCTTAAACAGAGCTCCTGATTCGACCCTTTCCTTCATATCCCACCATGCAGGAAGCAGCGGCTCTGCAGCTTCCTCCAGACCCCAGCACGCGCGCCCACCACTTTCACTACCTCAACCAGAGCTCCTGCCTCCACCTGCCTGTCTACTCATGCCTCCCTCCATGACCCCTTAAACAGAGCTCCTGATTCGACCCTTTCCTTCATATCCCACCATGCAGGAAGCACCGGCTCTGCAGCTTCTTCCAGACCCCAGCACACGCGCACACCACTTTCACTACCTCAACCAGAGCTCCTGCCTCCACCTGCCTGTCTACTCTTGCCTCCCTCCATGACCCCTTAAACAGAGCTCCTGATTCGACCCTTTCCTTCATATCCCACCATGCAGGAAGCAGCGGCTCTGCAGCTTCCTCCAGACCCCAGCACGCGCGCACACCACTTTCACTACCTCAACCAGAGCTCCTGCCTCCACCTGCCTGTCTACTCATGCCTCCCTCCATGACCCCTTAAACAGAGCTCCTGATTCGACCCTTTCCTTCATATCCCACCATGCAGGAAGCAGCGGCTCTGCAGCTTCCTCCAGACCCCAGCACGCGCGCCCACCACTTTCACTACCTCAACCAGAGCTCCTGCCTCCACCTGCCTGTCTACTCATGCCTCCCTCCATGACCCCTTAAACAGAGCTCCTGATTCGACCCTTTCCTTCATATCCCACCATGCAGGAAGCAGCGGCTCTGCAGCTTCCTCCAGACCCCAGCACGCGCGCACACCACTTTCACTACCTCAACCAGAGCTCCTGCCTCCACCTGCCTGTCTACTCATGCCTCCCTCCATGACCCCTTAAACAGAGCTCCTGATTCGACCCTTTCCTTCATATCCCACCATGCAGGAAGCAGCGGCTCTGCAGCTTCCTCCAGACCCCAGCACGCGCGCCCACCACTTTCACTACCTCAACCAGAGCTCCTGCTTCCACCTGCCTGGCCGCGCCTCCGACGCCGACGAGTTTGCCGCCACCATGGCAGCCATGCGTGCCGTTGGCATCACCGCTCAGCAGCAGGTGGGTGGGGGGTGATGTGAGGGCAGTAAGAGAGAAAGCGGCAGGAGGGAGGGGAGGGGGTGTTGTTTTTCCTGCTTGTGTGAGAGCATCTGTGTGTCACCACGCCAGCCATGTGTGCCGTCGGCATCACTGTGCAGCAGCAGGTGGGTGGGTGGGTGTGATGCGAGGGCTATAAAAGAGAAAGAGAGTGCATGGGGAGGGCTATCTTCCTGCTTATGTACAAGCATCTGTGGGCCGCTATGGCAGCCATGTGTGCCAATGGCATCACAGTGCAGCAGCAGGTGGGTGGGTGGGTCTGATGTGATGGCAGTAAGAGATAAAGAGGGCAAGGGAGGGGAGGGGGGGGGTTATCCTGCTTGTGTGCACCTATTTAAGCACCTTGTTTGCCCTTCTCACACTCCTTTCTCACCCCCTCCCTCTCGCCTCTCTCCTTCCCTTCCTCGCCCCTCTGCCCCTTCCCGTTCAAAATGGTCCGCCCACCAGGACTCAATTTTGAAAATACTGGCAGCCATCCTCCATATAGGCAACTTCACGTTTGAGCAGAGTGGCTCGGACCTGGTGCTGGAAGTGCCTCATGCAGAGGCGCATCTGGGTGCCGCTGCCGACCTGCTCAGGTGTGGTCTTAGCCGCTCAGGTTCGTTCTTATGGCCTCTTTTGTGTGTGTTCCTAGCTGCTTAGGTGTATCGTGGACCGCCTTGGGTGTGTTCGAATCTGCTCTCGATTCCTCCTCATGTTGCTGTGTTTGCTCTATTTGTCCCACTGCTCCATTCCCCCTGTACCTTCTGGTTGAATCGGCCTGGACAGGCTGGCAGTGGACGAGTTGTTGATGGTGATCAACAGTGAGTGGGTGGGCCTGCCACACCACGTAAACCCAAGCTCCCCCACCCCACCCTTCTTCTCCTGCGTCCCCCCATCTCTTCCTTCAGAGTGGACAAGGAAGCAATGCGTGAGTGGATCACAGTCGTCATGACCAGACGGGTGGGCCCGAACCGGAGGTTGCCGTTAATTCCCACTCTACGCCATGTCAATACCTTCCTCTTCCCACCCCGCCTTTCCCTCTGGAACCTGCTCAGAGTGGACAAGGAAGCGATGCGAGAGTGCATCACAGTGGTGACCAGGCGGGTGGGGCCGGAAGTCATTCGCAGCCCAGCGGACGACCGCACCGCCTGCTTACGCCGCGATGCCCTTGCCAAGGCGCTCTACTCGCGCGTCTTTGACTGGTGGGTGTTACTCCCCTACCCCTCACCTCCTTGCTCTCGTGTGCGCATTGTGTGAGAGTCGACTCAACAACCCCCACTCCACTCCACCGCACCGCCTGCTTGCGCCACAACACCCTGGCCAAGGCGCTTCACTCACGCGTATTCAACTGGTGGATCCCTCCCGCCCCTCGTTCGTGCATGCGCCTTGTGTGAGTCAACTTCACAACCTCACCTCACTGCATGTGTGCTTCACGACACCCTGGCCAAGGCGCTCTACTCGCGCGTCGCCCCTGCTATTCGTGTCCCTTGCTCGCCGTCGCCCGCCTCTGGAGGGTGGTGAAGCGCATAAACACGCTCGTACAGCAGACATGGCAACGCGGGTAGCAAGGTTCAGTGCCCAGCCCGTCCCCCCTGCAACATGTCTCCAGCCTGTGCAGGCTGGTGAGAGGATCCATGAGTCGATACAGCAGACAGGGCTGGGCAGGTAGCGGGGTTCAATGCCCCTCCCCGCTATTGGTCCCCCCTGCTCCCCGTTACCCGCCTGTGCAGGCTAGTGGAGCGCATCAACGAGTCAATACAGCAGACAGGCGGGATGGAGGAAGGCAGGTGCATTGGCGTGCTGGACATCTATGGCTTTGAGCACTTCGAGACAAACAGGTAAATGCAGATGTTGGAATGGGCTGCCTGCCTTGTAACACTTGAGTCAGCGCAAGAGTTGCCTTGGAGGAAGGCAAGTGCATTGGCGTGCTGGACATCTACAGCTTCGAGCACTTTGAGCTCAACAGGTAAATGCAGAATGCGAATCTTTAGATGATTCCCTTGTAGAGACGGGCGAACCATGTGGAGAAGTTGCTTGCTTAGATGAGGAAAGAGGGTTGCGCATGACATGCAAACAGCATTATCGTCTTCTGGAATCCATGAGGCTGGGAAGACGGTTGCGCAATCAATACCCGCCTCATGGATTTTGCTGTTGCGCTCTCCCTCTCCTTGTGTCTTTTCGTACGCTCCCGCCTCCCTCCCTTCACCCTCCTGTTGCCCCTTGCCTTATGCCTCCTTGTATACTCCCCCCTGCCCTCCCCCTCCCCTCCCCTTCCACCTTGCTGCAGCTTTGAGCAGCTGTGCATCAACCTGGCCAATGAGAAGCTGCAGCAGCACTTCAACCAGGTACGCTATAGGGTTACACTTGAACCACGTCTGCAGCAACTCTTCAACCAGGTACTAAGGGTACATTCCACTCTCTGGTTATAGCTTCTGGCCAGCGACCCCTAACTTCTGGTCAGTGATCATTTTGGGTGCACGACAGGTATGCGTTCAGTTGCGAGCAAGAGTGATCCCCCACTGTTGGATGGAGAATCTTGAGCGGCTGTTTAGACCCGATTTTTATGGTTCACATTTGACACGAATGGGTATGAATAGTCACGATACCAAAACACAGCCAACAAGAAAACGAATCAATTAAGGGCTCATGTGCACAAACAATGTTGGCTTTCGGTTTCGTTTTTTTACCGATAAATCAAATTACTACAGTACTCCGTGACAAAATGCTGAACCAGCTGTAATCATCGCACTACAGTGTTGGTAAAACCTCCATATTATTGGTTGCGCGACATCCCGCATGACAACTTTGCAGTTGGAAAATCGCTAGGGAAACACATCGCTAACCAGAGGCTTCTGGTCATCCAACGTCTAATTAAGAACGGTTAACCAAAAGATTGACCAGAGCGCGGAATGTACCCTAAGAGGATAACATTTATATCGTGTGAGCAGCAACACTTCAAGGGTACCAAGGTGATTCTACTTGAACTATGCTTGCAGCAACAGTTTGATGGGTAAGTATTGTTAATGAGTCTTTCAAGGCACCCATTAGGCTCACTGGAATTGCAAATGTAGGAACCTCATTGTCGCGAAAGGTCAGGCACGAAGCCTGCAAGGGGCCTCACTGCAAGTCTTTGCTTCAAACAAACCTTGTGGTCGCCCCCTTGCGAGGGGGCCACATGCTCCTCAACACATGCCCCTCCCTGTGCATACGTTTGACACGGCAGCCTGTGTTGAGGGAGGAGCGGCAGGTGTATGAACGGGAGGACATCACATGGAACCTTCATGCCTTGACTGCCCTTCACACCCTGCCCCTCTCTCTCCATCTCCGCACCTCCCCCCTGCAGCATGTGTTGAGGGAGGAGCAGCAGGTGTACGAGCGCGAGGGCATCAAGTGGGACTTCATTGACTTTGACGACAACAGCGACGTGCTTGACGCCATTGAAGGGGTGTGTTGTGTTGTTGTCATGGGACAGCGATGTGTTTATGTGGCATGGTTCACGTTCATGTCATCATTTAGACAGATCCAAGCCATTTGGTACCTTTAGGCTGTAGCTTGTGATCGATGTTCTCCACACCATTCGCAACCAGACCTGGATGATGGGCTTCACTTCATTGATACAGAAGAGTGCTTTGCTCCAGTCCGTTAAGCATATGCACTTTCCGAACTCTGGGTTTTTTCCGGAGAATCTCTCAACAAGAAGGTTCTGCGTTGCACCACCCTCGCACACACAGGGGGGCCTTACATGTGCTCTTGTGCAGTGCAATGCATCGTTGCTGTCCTTCCTTGCACTCCTCCCATCCCAACCCAACCGCCCCCTCCTCTACCCACCCACAGGACAAGGGCATTATCTCAATGCTTGACTCTGCCTGGTACGCCATGCCCCTCCACCCACCTTCCTCTCGCCAATCACTCTTACCTGCTTTCCATGCTCTATCTAAGCGACTCTCAAGGGTTTTGTTTTGCCTTTGACAAGTCCGCTTGCGTTTTTTCTCTCACAACCTTTCCCTTGCTCCAGTGCATGCGTGAAGCTCAGATGCCACATTGCGCAATTGTTAATCGATTGAAGCGTACGCACTGTGTCAACATCGCATCGCATACACTCAGCCACATCAAGTCCCCACATCCAGAGCTTTGCTGAAATGTGACTCACACGACACATGCCAGCTATGATGACTTCAACAAATGCATACGCTGTACCATCTTGTCTGCCCGGCCCCACGAGACGCCATCCGCCGTGATCCAATATTATCATTCCCATCCATGCAGCAAGCTGGCGCACATGACGCCAGCCAGCCTGGCTCAGACGCTGCGGCAGTCGCTGGAGGGCAGCAAGCGCTTCACCATGCCGCGTGGCTCTGCTGCCACCGACTTCACTCTCTCGCACTACGCAGGCAAGGCAAGGCATGTCCCTGCTGATGCTGCTGCTGATGCTGCTGCCGCCGCCTCGGCTGCTGTTGCTGCTTTTGCTACTGTTCCACTGGCACTTCTGTGCGTCCTGCTCCTCCCACACAGACGTTGCCACTATGCACCTGGCTCCATCCCTTTCTACCTGCCACCACTCTCTCACCATCCCATCTCTCTTGCGTCGTCCCCTTCCACTTCCACCTGCTTGTCTGCACCACTCCCTACCATCCCATCTTAAGAAACACACGTTGGCACTTCGCCACCCAACCCAACCCTTCCAAGTGCCCTGCTATTCTCCCTGCTCCGCTTCATAGCCCCTCTAACCGCACCACACCCTACCCAACCCCCCCCTCGATGGTTCCACAGGTGCGTTACTCCCTGCTTGAGTTCATGGCCAAGAACACAGACGTGACCATCCCAGAGCAGCAGCAGCTGCTAGAGCAGTCCTCAAACGATCTTCTCGCTGCCCTCTTCTCCCCGCCTCCCGCCAACCCTCCCTCCACCCCGACCTCCCCCTTCCTACCCACCCCGGGTAGCCCCCTCCCCACCACCCCCGGCAAACCTCCCTTCCCTGGCGCATACTCCTATATGAACGCCGCTGCTGCTGCCACAGCCACTGCTGGAGACCCTGCCAACGCCCCTCCCAGCCCCGCGTCTTCCCTTTCAAGCCCCTTTGGCCAGCGCCTCAACGCCTTCAGAAGCCCCTCTGCCAGTGCTGATGCGGGCGGCCCGGGCGGCGTGGGGCGGCGGCTGCTTGGAGGGCCTCAGAGCCCCCTGGGGGATGGGCAGAGCCCGAGGGGAGGGGGCGGGGGAATGAGAGGCAGTGCAGGAGGGAGAGGAGGGGGGTCGCGTGTTACATCTCTGGGCCGGCAGTTCAAGGTGAGGCTGCGGGTGGGGTGCACTGCACAACTGAAAGGTTGGTGATTCAAGGTGTGGTGTGGGGTACAAATGTAGAGCAGGCTCTGTGTACACCCCATTTTTGGCAAGTCCAGCTCCCGGGAATCCATGTTAGAGATGAGTTTGGGAGTGACATGTCACTGTAAGCCCCTTGCTGCTGCACCGCCCTTCATGATGCCGCCTCTGCTGCCGCCCGCTCCACCTTCATTCTGCCGCTTGCCTCTGCTCCTCCACAACCCCCGCACTCAACCTCGCCGCAGCACCTGTCCCAACCTTCTAAAGCACTCCCCTCCCTTCACCATGTACTGCAAACAAACCTTGTCTCAACGCACACGGATCGCCTCACACCCCTTCTGCCTGCTCTGCCTCCGTCCCGCCTTCGCCCCCAACCCACTGGCCTCGCTTCAGCTCCAGCTGGCGCAGCTGATGAAGACACTGTCTGCCATGCAGCCCCACTACGTGCGCTGCATCAAGCCAAACGCCGCCAGCCACCCGGCTGTTTTTGACTGGCTCTCTGTGGCCAGTCAGCTGCGCTCTGGGGTGAGAGGGGCATGCGATGTGGGGTGTGAGGGGCGTGCGATGTGGGGTGTGAGGGGCGTGCGATGTGAGGTGAGAGGGGCGTGCAGTGTGGGCCGAGAGGGGCGTGCAGTGTGGGCCGAGAGGGGCGTGCAGTGTGGGCCGAGAGGGGCGTGTGGTGTGGGGTAAGAGGGGCGTGTGGTGTGGGGTGAGAGGGGCGTGTGGTGTGGGGGGGTGAGAGGGGCGTGTGGTGTGGGGTGAGAGGGGCGTGTGGTGTGGGGTGAGAGGAGCGTGTGGTGTGGGGTGAGAGGGGCGTGTGGTGTGGGGTGAGAGGGGCGTGTGGTGTGGGGTGAGAGGGGCGTGTGGTGTGGGGTGAGAGGGGCGTGTGGTGTGGGGTGAGAGGGGCGTGTGGTGTGGGGTGAGAGGGGCGTGTGGTGTGGGGTGAGAGGGGCGTGTGGTCTGGGTTTGAGCATGCACGCACATGTCTTTGTATGTAAGCATGGTTTTGAAAGCTTGACTCTTCGTTCTCATTCGGAGCTGTTTGACTGGAAAGAAAGGTATGTGTCTCATATCCCCCTTCTTTGGAGTTCCCCTTCCCACACTTCTCCCTCTATTCCCTCTCGTTCTCTCCCCTCCCCCCTCCCTTTCCTCCTCACGCTCTCCCTCCCCCCCTCCCCCTCTGCCCCCTCCCACCAGGGCGTGGTGGAGGCCATTCGAGTGTGCTCTGCCGGCTTCCCATCGCGCCGCCCCTTCGGGGATTTCATCGAGCGCTTTGCCCTGCTGCTGCCCCCTGACTCTCCTGCTGCGCTCAAGCTCTCAACGTGAGTGGCTGGCCGGCCCACATTCCACCATCCAGTCCAGATGTGCTTCTCGTGTTTCACCCCACATCCGAGTCCTTGTCTTTACCTGCACTTGAGCACCCTCACATCATGCACCTCGCATTCTCGTGTGTCACATACACCCTGCATCTGATACTGATTCTTGGAGCTGCAACTACTATCAGTGTCAAATGCAGCAAGCAGCCACATCACCCTCCCCGTATCCTTCCTCTGTGCATCTCTATGGGCCCCTTTAGTCCACACATCCCCTTTAGTCCACACATCCCCTTTTGTTGGACAACTCTCTATCCTTCTGCCAAACACGTCCTTGTTATGCCCCTCTCTTTCTCCACGCCCCTCCCCGTCGGTGCTCCTCACGCCCTTCTCTCGCTCCCATGACCTCCCTCTCGCTCCCATTGCCTCTCACCTTCGCAGGGCATCGGAGCCTGACATTGTGAAGCTCATTCTCACCAATGCCAATCTCACAGGCTGGCAGGTGAGTGTGACAGGCTGGCAGGTGATTGTGACAGGCTGGCAGGTGAGTGACAGGCTGGCAGATAATGGTGAGCATGGTGTGACTGTGGCCATCCCCTTTTCATGTCAACCGCTACTCACTCCTCTCCTCTCCACCCACCCATCTACTTATCCAACCAGGTGGGGCGCTCCATGGTCTCTCTTCGGGCAGGCCAGTTACAGGTGCTGGAGGCATGTCAAGCATCCCCTCAACTCGCACTTCCTCTTGTCCCCCCTAACCAACTCTTCCTCACACTCCCACCCACCTTTTCCACGGCACCCAGGTGGGGCGCACCATGGTGTTTCTGCGTGCGGGGCAGCTGCGGGCGTGTCAAGCATCTCTCACTTTCTCCCCTCCCATACCCCTCCCACTATCGTCCCCAGGTGGGGCGCTCAATGGTGTTCCTGCGGGCAGGGCAGCTGCGGGCGCTGGAGGCGTGTCGAGCATCCTCTTGATCAACTTCTCCTCTCTCACCCACCCTCCTTCCGCCGTCCAGGTGGGGCGCTCAATGGTGTTCCTGCGTGCGGGGCAGCTGCAGGCACTGGAGGCGTGTCGGTCGCAGCGTGTGGACGCGGCAGCAGCGGCCATCCAGAGAACTGTGCGGCGCTACCTGTGGCGCAAGCACCGCCTGCATGCCACTGTTGTCATTCAGAGCGCCTGGCGAGGTGTGTGAGAGGCATGGGCAGTGAGGGATTGGAGAGGTGTGTGAGAGGCATGGGCAGTGAGGGATTGGAGAGGTGTGTGAGAGGCATGGGCAGTGAGGGATTGGAGAGGTGTGTGAGAGGTATGGGCAGTGAGGGATTGGAGAGGTGTGTGAGAGGCATGGGCAGTGAGGGATTGGAGAGGTGTGTGAGAGGCATGGGTCTATCTTTGAGGCGCCCCAAGAGTGGCGTGTGGGTGCGGCTGAAGCAGCGACCATCCAGAAGGCTGTGCGGCACTGGCTGTTGCGCAATCACAGCATGCACGCCACCCTTGTCGTTCAGAGCGCATGGCCAAGTGCGTCAGAGATGTATGGGACTATTTCTAAAACACCGATATGCAACGACGTGTGAGCAGCAGAGGCCATCCAGAGGGCTTGTGCGGCGCTACCTGTGGCGCAAGCACCGCCTGCACGCCACCATTGCCATTCAGAGCGCGTGGAGAGGTATGTGAGTAGCATACTAGCATGGGTCTAACTTTTTGAGGTGCCTCAGAAATGGCGAGTGGATGCAAAAGCAGCGGCCATCCAGAGGGCTGTGCGGCGCTACCTGTGGGGAGAGACAGCGGTGCAAATTCAGAACTGGGCGCCTCAAACCCCTCTCTTCCTGTGCGTTCTGCTCTCTCCCACACACAACCCCCCCACACACAACCCCTCTCCCCCCACCCCCTCCCCTCTCTAAGTTCCCCCAAGCTATCTCGCCTGGCGGTCGGTGCGAGTGCAGTGAGATCAGAAGGCAGCAGTGCTCATTCAGAGCTGGTGGCACCTTAAACTCCTCCTCCTTGCCCCTTCGTACCTCTCCCCTCCTTTCCCCCAGGCTACCTCACTCGGAGGATAATGAGAGTGCATAGAGAGCGCAGAGCAGCGGTGCGCATTCAGAGCTGGTGGCGCGGGCTGGTGGTGCGATGTGGCTTCCTGGAGCTGCGCCGCGTGGCCATCCTGCTGCAGCGCCGCCGCCGGGGGCAGATGGCGAGATATGCGGAGGAGTGGCAGCAGCAGCACTGGGCTGCTATCACCATTCAGGTCGGTTCACTCGCGGTGCATCTGAGTCTTTTGGGTCAACTCAAACGATGATGTAGGGTGCAGCTATGATGCGAAAGACGCGTCCTGCGTCCTGGACGCATGCGTCCAGACGCATGCGTCCGGACGCAGGACGCTTCACCAGGACCAGAAAGACGCACCAAAAGACGCAGTCCCGGGCAGGCAAAAAAAACCCCCGGGCAGGCAAAAAAACTTGTTAAAGGGCATGGGATGAGGAGGGGGGGGGGAACGTTCCACACTTTTAAGGCAAACTTGGCCCCAACATCCCTAGATGCGTTAGATGACGTAGGGTTGCTTGAGGAAGCCATAATGGAGCTAAGCTATGCTTGTAGGCTAAAACCTCTAGGGTTTTCGAAAGAGAATTGGTTGGGTGGGTGAAATGAGAAATGACTTGGTTGGATTGCTAAATGGGCTTGGTGGTAGGCACCTAGGTTGGGTTTTCTAGTTGTGAAGTGGTTGAGAGGTATTTGGAATTCAATTGTTGCATGGGGGGTTATGAAATGTTGGGGGGGGACTGTTTTTCAATGTCGAATTGGGCAATGGGGGGTCAAAATTTCGCGATTTCGACAGTCGCGTCGAAATCGCGAGATTGAAATTCGTAATCTGGAAAAAAAAAAAAAAATCGGGGCAGCCCGAAAAATTTTCGATCTGCGTCCTGCGTCTGGACGCGCGTCTTGCGTCCTAGCGTCCAGACGCTGCGTCCAGACGCAGGACGCAGCGTCCTCTGAGCGTCTTTCGCATCATAGGGGTGCAGATGGCTTGATAACCGAGGAATGATTCCTTTCAACTCCACTTGTTCCTTTATAAGGTTGAGTCAAGGCAACAACGCCTGATGACGTGGTGACTGCTGGCTTGACTCGACACCCCCCTCGCTCCCTTGCCTTTCTTCCCTTCTGACTTTCCCCTTTCTCTCCAGGCGCACTGGAGGGGGTACTGCAGTCGCCGCCCCTGGCAACTGCTGCAGCAGCACCTGAGGATGAGAGTCGCCAGAATGAGGCTCAACCGCCTCAAACGGGTCAGTTTCTTAAGGAAAGGAGGCGTAAACTCTATCTTTGATCTACTTTTGCACGATTGTGCACTTGTGGTAACCTTGATAGGCTTACATGGTTACTTGTCGCACTTTGCGTGTTCTGATTCTGAGTGTCCCCCATGGTGGTGCTTTGGTCCCTCCCCCATGGTGGTGCCTTGGTCCCTCCCCCATGGTGGTGCCTTGGTCCCTCCCCCATGGTGGTGCCTTGGTCCCTCCCCCATGGTGGTGCCTTGGTCCCTCCCCCATGGTGGTGCCTTGGTCCCTCCCCCATGGTGGTGCCTTGATCCCTCCCCCATGGTGGTGCCTTGGTCCCTCCCCCATGGTGGTGCCTTGATCCCTCCCCCATGGTGGTGCCTTGGTCCCTCCCCCATGGTGGTGCCTTGGTCCCTCCCCCATGGTGGTGCCTTGGTCCCTCCCCCATGGTGGTGCCTTGGTCCCTCCCCCATGGTGGTGCCTTGGTCCCTCCCCCATGGTGGTGCCTTGATCCCTCCCCCATGGTGGTGCCTTGGTCCCTCCCCCATGGTGGTGCCTTGATCCCTCCCCCATGGTGGTGCCTTGGTCCCTCCCCCATGGTGGTGCCTTGGTCCCTCCCCCATGGTGGTGCCTTGGTCCCTCCCCCATGGTGGTGCCTTGGTCCCTCCCCCATGGTGGTGCCTTGGTCCCTCCCCCATGGTGGTGCCTTGATCCCTCCCCCATGGTGGTGCCTTGGTCCCTCCCCCATGGTGGTGCCTTGGTCCCTCCCCCATGGTGGTGCCTTGGTCCCTCCCCCATGGTGGTGCCTTGGTCCCTCCCCCATGGTGGTGCCTTGGTCCCTCCCCCATGGTGGTGCCTTGGTCCCTCCCCCATGGTGGTGCCTTGGTCCCTCCCCCATGGTGGTGCCTTGGTCCCTCCCCCATGGTGGTGCCTTGATCCCTCCCCCATGGTGGTGCCTTGGTCCCTCCCCCATGGTGGTGCCTTGATCCCTCCCCCATGGTGGTGCCTTGGTCCCTCCCCCATGGTGGTGCCTTGGTCCCTCCCCCATGGTGGTGCCTTGGTCCCTCCCCCATGGTGGTGCCTTGGTCCCTCCCCCATGGTGGTGCCTTGGTCCCTCCCCCATGGTGGTGCCTTGGTCCCTCCCCCATGGTGGTGCCTTGATCCCTCCCCCATGGTGGTGCCTTGGTCCCTCCCCCATGGTGGTGCCTTGATCCCTCCCCCATGGTGGTGCCTTGGTCCCTCCCCCATGGTGGTGCCTTGGTCCCTCCCCCATGGTGGTGCCTTGGTCCCTCCCCCATGGTGGTGCCTTGGTCCCTCCCCCATGGTGGTGCCTTGGTCCCTCCCCCATGGTGTCGCACTGTGCCTTGGTCCCTCCCCCATGGTGTCGCACTGTGCCTTGGTCCCTCCCCCATGGTGTCGCACTGTGCCTTGGTCTAGGGATGGGCATTTGACCCGGACGGGTCGGGTAACCCGACCCGACCCGCCCTTTAGGGCGGGTCGGGTCAGGAATGCTGAGAAGGCCGACCCGCCCGGGTCGGGTCGGGAAAACCCGGACGGGTCGGGTCGACCCGTGACCCGTCACTGTGATTTAGTGACGGGTATTTGCGACCCGCCGGGTCAGGTTGACCCGTCCCGTCCGGGTCGCGTACCCAGTCAAATGACAGGGTTACCCGACCCGTTTTCGGATTAGGGTAGGGGTTGAACATCGGTTGGTTTTTTAGGTTTTTTTTTCCCTCGACATTCTGATCTAGTCGCTAGACTTTATCAAGGCTAGTACTTCTGCGCTGCAGCTAGGGAGCCTCATACAGTCTTCACTCTTCAATGTAAGCACTATTGAAACTGCATATTATCTTCAGGTTAGGGTTTGGCGCTCCCGCCATTTCGCAGCGTCGCACGACCAGGGGCGCAGCAGCGCGCGTGCGGCCACGCATTGGCGCGAGCGCGCTTTTAGCCAGGGCAGGAACGTAGTGACATGGCAGCGTCACCGCTTGAGCGCCCCTCGTGTTAGCGCCCTCATGGCTATCAAGTCATGGATGGCGCAGAACACGAGCAGCAGGTCATTGAACGTGGCAGGGGCTGCGCGTTCGCTTGTGGAGTTGTGCTATGAGGCCGAGGACGATGGGTTTTGAGTAATGTTTGCTGCGGGAGTGGTCGCTATAGGCCTTAGGCCATTTGCCATAACCCTTTTGGAGATACAGTAGATTTTATTTATTTCCATGCTTGATTGACATTCACTTCACAAACAGGGTTGTTGTTCTATTGACATACGCCATAGACATTTGTTTGAAGCGAAAAAACTACTGCATTTCATGTTTGGATGCCCTGGAATTCATGCACCTTGGGCTAACGTAAGGTACGTATAAACTTAAGAATATAGTTGTAACATGTACTTTACAATGTAGCAATTTAGACCTAACCCCCATACCCTGCTGCTATGTAACATATTTTGATCCGACCCGACCCGACCCGTGGTGTAACCGACCCGGTAACGGGTCACAAATACCCGTTCCCACGGGGCGGGTCGGGTCACCAAAACAGAGTCAAACCCGACCCGCTAACCCGACCCGACCCGACCCATTAAGCTAACGGGTCGCCCTCAACGGGACGGGTCGGGCCGGGTCGGGTCAAATGCCCATGCTTACCTTGGTCCCTCCCCCATGGTGTCGCACTTGTTGTAATTTCATATTTCATACAACATACATAGGCTAGAAGTGTAGCACATTTATAAATTGGGGGGTTGCTTAGTGTACCCTCCAACCACATTTTGTGGTTGGTTGGGATTGGTCCTTAGCTCAACCAATCCCAACCAACACACATTTGTGGTTGCTTGGGTCACAAGCAAGCTCACCCATTGGCCAACTTATTGGCCAATAGGGTAAGCTTCCCTCTCATCTCTCTCTTGCTCATTGTTTGTACTAAAGAGCCTCTTGGCTCATTATTCAATGTATCAATTCTAGCTTTCCAACAGCACTGTGCCTTGGTCCCTCCCCCATGGTGTCGCACTGTGCCTTGGTCCCTCCCCCATGGTGTCACACTGTGCCTTGGTCCCTCCCCCATGGTGTCGCACTGTGCCTTGGTCCCTCCCCTATGGTGTCGCACTGTGCCTTGGTCCCTCCCCCATGGTGTCGCACTGTGCCTTGGTCCCTCCCCCATGGTGTCGCACTGTGCCTTGGTCCCTCCTCCTCACTTCTCCATGCTCGTTCACAGTGTTTATTTGTTTTGGTCGCTCCCATACCCCATCCCTCCCTTCCCTTACCTCATCTCTCTCTGTGATTGTTCTCTCTGTCCCACCCGCACGCACCACCGCAGGCAGCGCAGCAGCAGGCGGAGCTGGCCCCGCCGCGCAAGAAGTTGGACATGGCTGTTGATGCCATCCGCCTGGCCGTGCTGCGCGTCATGCGGGTGAGATGCATGCAGATTAGATGGGGTTGTTGAGATGGGGGTGAGATGCATGCAGATTAGATGGGGTTGTTGAGATGGGGTTGAGATGCATGCAGATTAGATGGGGTTGTTGAGATGGGGGTGAGATGCATGCAGATTAGATGGGGTTGTTGAGATGGGGGTGAGATGCAAGCAGATTAGATGGGGTTGTTGAGATGGGGGTGAGATGCATGCAGATTAGATGGGATTGTTGAGATGGGGGTGAGATGCATGCAGATTAGATGGGGTTGTTGAGATGGGGGTGAGATGCATGCAGATTAGATGGGGTTGTTGAGATGGGGGTGAGATGCATGCAGATTAGATGGGGTTGTTGAGATGGGGGTGAGATGCATGCAGATTAGATGGGGTTGTTGAGATGGGGGAGAGATGTGAGAGGCCTTGTCCGCCAGGGCAGGCTTCACTGCGACCTGGGAAAGACCCATGTGCTCTACAGGCTCAAACTGATGTTCTTAAAGCCCATCTCAGCTGATCAGCTGAACCTTGCCTGACCTGCTCGTGCATGTTACTCTAAACACCCACCCGCTCCACCGCACCACACCCCCTTGCATCCCGCTCCATCCCTTCTCAGGACAAGGCAGAGCGTGCGAGGGCAGCAGCAGAGGAGTCAGTATCCGCCCTGCAGAGGGAGCTGGAGGTTCGGTCCCGCCACGCCCATGCCCTCGACCGAGACCTCCGAGCCACCCGCTGCGACCTTGAGATCCGAACCTCCGAAGCCGAGGCTCGCATCGCCGAACTTGAGGCGGAGGCTCGGGAGGCAGACCGTCAGCGACGGGAGTGGGAAGCTCGGGTGAGCGAGCAGGAGGCGGTTGAGAGGGAGGTGAGGGAGAGGAGGAGGGAGGTGGAGCAGTGGAGGAGGGAGGCCGAGGGGAAGGATGCGGAGATTAGGAGACTGAGGGAGGAGTTGGAGGTAGTGAGGGGGAGGCTGCGGGAGGCTGAAGGGCAGGTGATGGGATTGAAGCAGGAGGTGATGGTTGTTGAAGGGCGGGTGGAGTTAATAAGGGAGGAGGCAGAAGGGGCTGAGAGGAGGGCGGAGGAGGAGAGAGCACGGGTGGAGGCAGCGGAAAGAAGGGCCGAGGAGCTGATGAGGCAAGTGCAGGAGATGAAGGCAGAGCTAGATGAATCCGTGGCTGCTCTTGCTGCTGCTGCCGCTGCCGCTGCCGCTGCTGCTGGTGGTCACGCCTCTGGTGATGCCTCTGCTGGTGCTTCTGCTGCTGTTGGCAGGCCTGGAACTGGGGTGATCCCAGGGCAGATGATGATCGAGTGGCACAGTGGGGACCCCAGCAGGGCAGAGCAGGCAGGGCGGGAGGGGGCGGCGGTGTCGGGCTTGGCACCGCCGTCAGTGGTGTCAGGCGTGGAGGAGGCGTCGTCCTCAGTGGTGCTCATGCGGGGGGAGGAAGGGGACACTCTCACTGACATGATCAGCGAACGAACCCCAGATGGAGTCACCCCTGATGACGACGGATACACCTACACCTACCTCGTCTCCCCTCCTCCCCCACCTCCCCCTCCACCCCTTCCGCCGCATACCACTGCAGCAGCAGACAACCCTACCCCAGGAGGCCTCTCCCCGCCGCTCCCGGACTTCCCCGCGCCGCCTCCTCCAGCCTACCGCAGCCCGCCAGTGGGGATGATCGTGCCGCCGCGCTGCCACTCCGACCGCCTGCGCTCCTCCCCCTCCACCTCCAGCGTGGGCTCCCTAGACGAGGACTGGAGCCTTAGGGAGGGGATGCTGGGAGGTGCTAGGCCGTCAATGGCAATGCGCCTGGGAATGGGGGGAACGGGGCCACCAGGGGGGTTCCGGGGTGGGCCTGGGGGAGGTGCGACCTGGGGCGGGTTTTACGGCCGGGCAGGGAGTGCTGGAACGCCTTCGGTGGTGAGCTTCGGCGGGGGAAGTGGGGGAGGGTCGGGCGGAGCCGGAGCAGGAGGGAGTGGTTCGGCACCGAGCCTGCACCAGATGATAGCCTTGGCAGAGAAGGATCGGGACATGGCGGCGCGGCTGGGAGCAGAGGCGGACTGGCTGAGAGGGGCGTACAAGGAGACAAGGCAGGAGGCGAGTGTGGCGCGGGCGAGAGCAAGGCAGGCGGAAGCAAGGATGGAGGAGGTGAGGCGCGAGCTGCTGCAGTGGCAGGCTCTGGCGGCTGAGCTGCAGCAGCAGGTGCACTCGCTGCAACGACAACTCGACAGGTGCGCTGTTGAGGGCTGCTGAGGCCTGGGGCAGGTGCGGCGGGTAGGTTGGTGAATGGCAGATGGAAAGGTGGGCGCACTCACTGCTGCAACGCCAGCTCGACAGGTGCGCTGCTGTGCTGGAGAAGGGGCAGGTGGACTAGGTGAGGTGGTAACGGGCGGATTGAGAGGTTGATGGTGCAGCTGGGTGCAGCTGGGTGCAATGCAAACGCAAGTGCTTGAACTGCAGCAGCAGGTGCTCTTGTTGCAACGCCAGCTCGACAGGTGCGCTGCTGAAGGACGGGGCAGGTGGACAGGTGGGTGCACTCGACAGGTGCGCAGTGCACGTGCATGAACATCCGCAGCAGGTGCACTCGCTGCAGCAACAACTTGACAGGTGCGCTGCTGATGGTCAGGTGGGCAGGTGGGCAGGCGGGCAGGTGGGCAGGTGGGCAGGTGGGCAGGTGGGCAGGCGGGCAGGTGGGCAGGCGGGCAGGTGGGCAGGTGGGCAGGCGGGCAGGTGGGCAGGCGGGCAGGTGGGCAGGCGGGCAGGTGGGCAGGTGGGCAGGCGGGCAGGTGGGCAGGCGGGCAGGTGGGCAGGCGGGCAGGTGGGCAGGCGGGCAGGTGGGCAGGCGGGCAGGTGGGCAGGTGGGCAGGTGGGCAGGCGGGCAGGCGGGTAGGCGGGCTGGGGCTGAAGAGGTGCGTTACAGGGCTATGTGTGGAAGGTGCTTCAGTTGTTGGTGAAACCAACTGTTTCCTTCTCTCCCCTGCCCCTCTGCCCCCCATCTTCTCCCCCTTCCGTCCCCGTGCAGCCTGCAGGCGGGGAAGAAGGAGCACATGGAGGGGCCAGGGGCAGGGACGAGGGGCATTGCGCAGGAGAGGGGGCGAGGCAGGGAGAGGGAGAGGAGTGGGCGGCCGGGCATTCTCACTCGCCGCCTGCTGCAGCAGCAGCCGCAGTATGGCGGTGGGGGTGGCAGTGGAATGGTGCCCTCGTCTCCTGTATCGCCCACGTCAGGAGCCATGTCTGCCTCTGCTCCCTCCTACTCCTCCCAGGTAAGCCATGGCCACACCATGCCATCTGCTCCCACTGTCATTTCGTTATCATTCCACTGTCGCTTCACCGGGATTCCACTGAATTCTCCCTCCCTCCCTCCCTCCCTCCCCTTTCCACATCCACAGGTGCAGTACCTGCTGCGCTATGTGGTGCGACCGCTGGGATTCACCCCCTCGGGCCACTCAGGCCACCACTCCCATTCCTAATCGCCCCTCTCACTCGCTCCCCGCGTTCCCCGCCCCTCCACACCCACTCAGGTGCAGTACCTGCTGCGCTACGTGGTACGACCGCTTGGTTTCACCCCCTCGGGCCACTCAGTGCCTGCCTGCTTCCTCTTCACCATCCTCCGCTTCTGGCCGCACCTCTCCTTCCATGCCCCTCCTCCCTCTTCTACCACCACTGCCAACACCACCAACGCTTTCTCGACTGCACTACCAAGCAACCTCCCTAGCACACCCACAGCAGCAGCAGCGGCTGGTGCTTCAGCCGCCCCTCCCTTCCTCCCCCCCTCCACCCCTTTCTCCCCCTACTCCCCTTACTCCCCCTACTCCTCCGCCTCCTCCCTCCCCTTCGCCTCCCTCTCCCCCTTCTCCTCCCTCTCCCTCTCCGCATCCCCCATCCCACCACACGACGAGGTGCTATCAGCCATCCGCACGGCCCTGCAGCGCTCAGCAGGGAGCCTGGAGCGCCTGGCGTATTGGATCTCCACGCTTGTTGCCCTGCACGCCCTGCTGCTGGGGGGGCTTAAGCCCGCCCGCTGGCAAGCCATGGCTGCTGCGGCGGCGGCAGCGGTGGCGGGGGGAGGGGTTGGGGGAGGTGAGATGGAGGCGGATTCGCAGCAGGCGAAGGGGCGGGCGGAGGAGGTGGTGGGTTCTTCTGCTGTTGCGTCTCCAACGCTCAAAGCTCCTTCATCTCCCAGTGAAGCTGCAGCAGCAGCAGCTTCTGCTGCTGATGGGTTCACAGCCGCCACTGGCGCCAGTCCCACTACTGCTACTGCTAGAATTCCTGCCAGGGCTATGTCTGCCGGGAGCGCTGTGGGGGCAACCAACCCAGCAGCATCAAGTAGCAGCAGCACGTCTGGCAGTCGCAGCAGCATCAAGGCTGCGGCCTCTTTCTTCAGTGGGCTCTTCTCCTCCCGCTCCTCCTCCTCCTCGCCCGCCCCTCCCTCTGCTGCTTCTGCTGCGCCTGCCGTGCCGCCTCCGTCCCGTCCACCCCCTCGCCCCACCCAGAACAACAACCGTCCGCAGCACTCCTATCCCCACCATGCTCCCGTACCTCACTCGCTCCATGTGGCCACAGCTTCTACTGCTGGACCTCCTTCCACCACTGCTAGTACCGCCCCCAATGCTTCTCTCAATGCCTCTTCTGGTGTTGCTACCACCACTCGTATCCCAGGAGCCCCACCGCCCTCCTCCTCCCTTCCCACCGCTTCCTCCTCTCCTGTGCCTGCCTCTGCCTGCGCTGTTCCGCGCGCCGGCACCACCAGCCTGGCGTGTGCTCCCACGGGGCAGGACGCTGACTCTGCAACAGCTGGACCCACTGGCTTGGTGAGGCCTGGCAGCGGTGGTAAGGGGTGGTAGGGGGTGGTAGGGGGTGGTAGGGGGTGGTAGTGTGTGCTTGGGAGTGGTAGCGTCCGTGCCTGCCTCTGCATGCTCTGTTCCTCATGCCGGCACCACCAGCCTGGCATGTGCTCCGATGGGGCAGGACGCTGATTCTGCTGCACCCGGACCCACTGGCTTGGTGAGGCCCTGCCGCGGGAGGGCAAGGGGTGGTAGGGGGGTGGTACGGGGGGTGGTAGGGGGGTGGTAGGGGGGTGGTAGGGGGGTGGTATGGGGGTGGTATGGGGGTGGTAGGGGGGTGGTATGGGGGTGGTAGGGGTGGTAGAAGCTGGTAGGGGATGGTTGGGGGTAGTAGAGGTGGTGGTGGTTGGGGATGGTGGTAGGGTCAGGAGATATGGAAAACGGTTGGGCCTGCTCGAGTGTAAGGTAGAACATCTCACATGTTTGTTGCAGCCTGTGGTTGGGGGTGGTGGTAGGGCCAGGAGATATGGAAAACGGTTGGGCCTGCTCGAGTGTAAGGTAGAACATCTCACATATTTGTTGCAGCCTGTGGTTGGGGGTGGTGGTAGCTGCGCCTATGCTGTGCTGTGGGCGCACAAGGTGGGTGCGTGTGTGCCTTACCTCTCACTTCCTGCTCTCTCTGCTCTGCCCCATTGTGCTGCTCGCCCCTGCCTCTCCACATCTCACCGCGGCCAATTCGCCCTGCCAAAGGATTCCATGCTGCTGGCTCACAAGGTCGACCCCATGTGTGCAGCACCTCTCCCTCTCTTCTGATCCTTCCGCTCTTCCCCACTCTACTCTCGCCTCTTCCCTCCCTCCCACCAGCGGAGACCATGCCACTAGCACACAAGGTGGACGCGTGTGTGCACCATGCCGTGGGACTGGTAAGTCCTTCCCAGTGCTGAGTTGCCCACTCCTTACGCTCTTCTCCTTGTGCTTCATCCATCCCCCCCCAGTTCGCACTACCAGCGGAGACCATGCTACTAGCACACAAGGTGGACGCGTGTGTGCAGCATGCAGTGGGGCTATTCACGCACCACTGCACCTCGCAAGTCGCTGCCCTCCTGCAACCACCTGTCAGTGCTGCCAACCGCTTGCTTTCGCCTCTTCTGCTCTTACCTTCGGTTTTGCTTTACCTTTGCTTTCGCCTTTGCTTTAGAAACAGTTAAATTTTCCTCGCTTCTGCTTGGATTGGGTTTTTGCTTCGCTCTTGCTTTCTCTATTTCCTTCCTTTGTCACTGCTCTCGCTGTTGCTGCAAGGCATTATGTGAGAAGTGCGTGGCGTGGCTCCCGCCTTCAGTGCTCTCCCCTCGCCCCCATTCACCTGTTCTTGATGCAGCCACAATCACATGCAAACGAAGGGGGCAGAAGTCGCAGCAGCAGCATCTGGGAGACACAAAAGGGGGAGCACATTGCCCAAGCTCTCAATGTGATCTTGAAGAAGAAAGTGGAGTCGCGTGGTGATTTTCCCTCTCTCAACATTTCCTCTTCCGCACCCACCTGCTTGTTATGCAGCCACAGCAGCCGCAATCACAAGGAAATGAGGGGACGGCAGCAGAAACAACACCTGGAAGGCGGAGGAGCACGGGAGGCGCATTACCCAAGTTCCCGAGCGTGGCTCTGAAGGAGCACGTGGGCAGCACGTGGAGCAGTGTGGTGGGGGTGCTGCGGCGGGCAGCACTAGTGCTGTTGGAGAACCAGGTGCCGCCACCCGTCATCCAGAGCGTGCTCAAGCACCTCCTCGCCTTCATCAACGTGCGCGTCTTCAACAGGTACAGTCGTGTTCAAGAGGTGCACAGCACGTGGTGCCCGTGCACCTCTTCAACAGGTAAAGTCGTCTTCAACAGGTAAAGTCGTCTTCAACAGGTAAAGTCGTCTTCAACAGGTAAAGTCGTCTTCAACAGGTAAAGTCGTCTTCAACTGGTAAAGTCGTCTTCAACAGGTAAAGTCGTCTTCAACAGGTAAAGTCGTCTTCAACAGGTAAAGTCGTCTTCAACAGGTAAAGTCGTCTTCAACAGGTAAAGTCGTCTTCAACAGGTAAAGTCGTCTTAAACAGGTAAAGTCGTCTTCAACAGGTAAAGTCGTCTTCAACAAGTAAAGTCGTCTTCAACAGGTAAAGTCGTCTTCAACAGGTAAAGTCGTCTTCAACAGGTAAAGTCGTCTTCAACAGGTAAAGTCGTCTTCAACAGGTAAAGTCGTCTTCAACAGGTAAAGTCGTCTTCAACAGGTAAAGTCGTCTTCAACAGGTAAAGTCGTCTTCAACAGGTAAAGTCGTCTTCAACAGGTAAAGTCGTCCTCAACAGGTAAAGTCGTCCTCAACAGGTAAAGTCGTCTTCAACAGGTAAAGTCGTCTTCAACACGTAAAGTCGTCTTCAACAGGTAAATTCGTCTTCAACAGGTAAAGTCGTCTTCAACAGGTCAAGTCGTCTTCAACAGGTAAAGTCGTCTTCAACAGGTAAAGTCGTCCTCAACAGGTAAAGTCGTCCTCAACAGGTAAAGTCGTCTTCAACAGGTAAAGTCGTCCTCAACAGGTAAAGTCGTCTTCAACAGGTAAAGTCGTCTCAACAGGTAAATTCGTCTTCAACAGGTAAATGTTAGAAGAGAGAGAATTGATACATTGAATAATGAGCCAAGAGGCTCTTTAGTACAAACAATGAGCAAGAGAGAGATGAGAGGGAAGCTTACCCTATTGGCCAATAAGTTGGCCAATGGGTGAGCTTGCTTGTGACCCAAGCAACCACAAATGTGTGTTGGTTGGGATTGGTTGAGCTAAGGACCAATCCCATCCAGGGATTGGTTGAGCTAAGGACCAATCCCAACCAACCACAAAATGTGGTTGGAGGGTACACTAAGCAACCCCCCAATTTATAAATGTGCTACACTTCTAGCCTATGTATGTTGTATGAAATATGAAATTACAACACAACCCCCCAACATGCATAAGGCTAGAAGGCTAAAATCAAGAGGCGAGAGGCGACTTAGGAGGAGTGAGGCCAAGAAGACAAAGTAGGAAAGAGTGAGCGGCATGAGGAAGAGCTTTTGTGAAGATGTTGGCAAGGTTGGCCGCCGAGTCAACCTTGTCGAGGCGAAGGTGCCCCGCCTGAACAAGATCGCGAATGAAGAAATGACGGAGCTCAATGTGCTTGGAGCGCCCGTGAAACACAGCATCTTTGGTGAGGTGAATGGTACTAGCATTGTCACACCAAATTGTGGGACAGCGCTGGGGGGCACCAAGTTCCTCAAGAAGGAAGGTGAGCCAGCGGCCCTCTTGCGTAGCCATGTTGGCGGCATACAATTCCGCCTCGCAGGAGGAGAGGGCTGCAGCCGAGGAGCGGGTGGAGCGCCAGCTGATAAGGCCGCTGCCAAGAGAGAAGCCATAGCCCTGGGAGGAGCGACGATCTGGCCGGGAATCAGCCCAGGAGGAGTCACTGTAGCCGCTGAGAAGAGGTGGGGAGGAGTACTAGGAGAGGAGTGAGCGGGGGAGACAGGAGAAGACAGAGGTTCCGGGTCAAAGATGTCACCAGAAGAGGGAGGGGCACCATGGGACTGGGACGGCGGAGAAGGGGGGGGTGGGAGGATGGGGGGAGGAGGGAGTAGTGGGGGAGGGGTGGTGTCAGACCAGACAAGGGGACGGGTGAGAGGGGGGAGTGGGTCAGTAGATGTGGGAGAGGAGTAGTAGGGAGTGGACTCGTCAAAGACCACATCCCGACTGCGGATTAGACGACCGGATGGTGGGTGGAGGAAAAGGTAGTCAGGGGAGGAGGGATTATGACCAAGGAAGATGCAGGGAAGGGTACGAGGGGCAAGCTTTCCCATGGAACAGGAGCGGTCAGAGGGGTGAATGAGGACATGTGCCTTAGAGCCCCAGACACGAAGTGATGAGGCATCAGGCTTGTCCTTCGTCCACAGCTCAGTGGGGGAGATGGAGGGAGAAGGGGGTGAGGGTAAAGGTTAGTAAGGAGGGCGGCATGAAGGAGGGCGTAGCCCCAAAGAGAAGGGGGGCAGGAGGCGTGGACAAGCAGACACCGGGCTGTTTTGGTGATCTCTCGAACACGACTCTCAGCCACGCCGTTCTGCTGTGGGGAGTGAGGGAGGGTGTAAGTCTGAAGGATGCCACGAGACTGACAATAGGAGGAGACTTGGTTGTTAAGGAACTCACCACCTCCATCAGAGTGAAGGCGGCGAACAGGGCGCCCAAAGTGGGTGTTTGCCCGCTCGAGCCAGGCGATGATCGCAGCCGGGGCATCCGCCTTCGTCCGAAGGAGAGAGACGGACGAGTACCGACTGTGATCATCAACAAGCACGAGAAGGTAGCGATGGCCCTGGCGAGTGGGAGAGGGATTAGGGCCCCATAGGTCCATGTGAACAAGATCAAGTGGCTGCGTAGCAGCGGAGGGGGAGCTCCGGTGCGGCTGCTGCTTGAGCTTGCTCTGAACGCAGACGGTGCAGGGGGGGGCAGGGGATTTGGGGAGGGGAGGGAGGGAGGAGGGGAGACCGTGGAGGAGACCGGAGGAGACAGAGGAGCGCAGAGTAGCGAAGTTGGGGTGGCCTAGCTTGTGATGGAGGAGGATGGTGGGGTGGGAGAGGGAGCGACAGGAACAGTCAGAGTCAGGAGGGCGGGGGGGGAGGGGTGGGTTAGTGGGAGGGAGGGGAGGGGGGGGGGGAAGGAGGGGGGGGGAGGCAACTTGGAAGGTGAGGGGGCGGGGAACCCGAAGGGTGTACAGACGGGAGCGAGGACAATAGGGAATACGGGCGAGAAAACGACCTGTGGAGGTTTGGTATAGGTCACAATGGTTAGCACCACCTGGGATGAGTGTGGTGATCATGGCTTGTTGGAGGGACCTTTGGGAGAGGAGGTTAGTACGAAGGGAGGGAATGTGGAGACCGGTGACAGTACCTGAGGGAAAGAGAGGACAGGGAAGGGTGGAGGTGTTGTGACAAGGGATGGAAAAACTGCTATCAGCGCCGAGGAGGGAGGTTGGTGTGGGGAGAGGGCGCAGTGTACCAGCGTCGCGAAGGACAGTGTCAGTGGCTCCACTGTCCAGAACGAAGTCAATGGTGGAGGAAGGTGAGGCAAAGTACTGGAACGAAGTTTCATTAGCAGAAGAAGGGTACATGGGAGATGCAACAGATTGAGGTTGACCTATTAAACCAACAAAACCAGAGGAAGGGAAAGCGGTCACACTGCCACCTGCAGACGGCGCCGGGGACGCACCCGAGAGATGGGCTGCAGAGGCAGCACTCCCAGCAGTCCAGGTAGGAAAGGGCTGCTGCTGGGAAACCGGAGGAGGAGGGAGGAGGGGCAGTTGCGGCTGGAGGTCGAGCTGCTGCTGGAGATGCTGGAGCTGCTGCTGGAGCTGAGAGAGGAGAAGTTGCTGCCCATACTGCTGTGACCCCTGCTGCTGATTCCCAAGCTGCTGCTGCTGTTGCTGCTGCTGGTGCTGCTGCTGGGGAGGGGCGAGGGCCTGGTGGGCGTGGGTGGAGGAGGGAGGTTCATAAAGGGGAGAGGAACGGACCTCAAGGGGAGTGGGGCGAGGGTTGAGGGCGGACCAGCGAGGAGGGGTGCCGGTGTTGCCACGGGCAAACCACTCATCACTGAGTGCCTTGAAGCACGTCTCAGTGGCATGGGTGGTTTGGCCACAGCGCTGTCCCTGAGTGGGACCGTAGCGAGTTAGGTACTGACAGGGAGGAAAGGCAGCTGCCGTACCACGACCCGCACCACTGCTGCCAGCACCACCGCGACCTGCTGATCCCCCTCGTCCACCCCCACGCCCACCACCACGCCCACCCCCACGCCCACCGCCACGTCCACCCCGGCTGCTGCGCGACTGGGCTGCTGCGGCTGTGGAGGAAGGGTGGCGAAGGATCTCAGCTTCGGTGGTGATAATCCACTGAGCGACTTCGGCAGGGGTGTGGTGCTTGGAGATAAGCTGCATGTAAGCAAGCTTGTGAGCGTCGAAGGCAGGTGTGAGGCCCTCGAGGAGGTGGCAGCAGATGACGGTGTCCGGGTACACCACATCGAGTGTTGCAAGGCGCCGAGCAAGGTCTAAGACACGGCGAGTGAAAGCAGCTGCGCCAGAAGTGGAATCCATGGAGAGAGTTCCAAACTCCTTGATAAGGGCGTAAAGAGTGGCAACGTCCTGCCGATCGAAAAGGTCGACTAGCAGTCGCCACAGGTGGGAGGAGGAGGTAGGTGAGAGCTCGAGTTTGAGGGAGGAGGGGATGGTGGCGAGAAGAATGGCAAGCGCACGCCGATCAGCAACCCGCCAGGCATTAATTTTCGTGGTGTAGTCTGCAAGTTCTGCAGTGTAGGTGTCCAGGTCCTCCTGGTACGTGTTGTAGCGGGCAGCGGCCTCGTCATAGATGCGCATGTCGTCCTCGTAACGCAATTGCAGGCGCAGGTGCTCTTGGAGATTGGTGCGGTAGGTGCGAATGGCGGTTTCCGAGCTCTGCGGGTCGTTGACATTCGGTGCGAAGGTGGGAGGATCACCGGGGGGAGAGGGCTCGGCGCCAGGGTGGGCGGGGGCAGGTACAGTAGGAGCGGTGGGGGCCACGGGCTGAAGTCCACCGCCTTCCTGAAAGACAACCGAGCGAAGGCTGTAGCCGCTGACCACAACAGAGGAGAGGAGCACCTCAACGGAATGAGCATAAGAGTGCCAATTAGCAGCAGAGTTGTCAGGCAGCAACTCGAGTGCGTCAACAGTGGCAAGGTCGACGGAAGAATCGGACGACGATGCCATAGAGATGAGGGTGGGTAGAGGCTAGAGCAGGAGGAGGATGGTGCGAGGGTACCGTTGCCAATGCTGCTGCTGGCCCTGCTGCCCGTGCCGCTGCTGGTTCTGCAGCTGGTGCCGCTGCGGATGCTGCTGCGGGTAGGATGGGAGGAGGAAGGGAGGAGCGGAGGGTGGGGAAGGTGGAGGAGGAGGAGGGCGATGCTATGGGGGATGCAAGGAGGAAGGGTGCTGCTGGTGGTGCCGCTGCAGGTGCTGCTGCTGGTGCTGCTGCAGGTAGGATGGGAGGAGGAAGGGAGGAGCGGAGGGTGGGTTGGGTGGAGGAGGAGGAGGGCGATGCTATGGGGGAGGAAAGGGGGGAGGGTGCTGCTGGTGGTGCTGCTGCGGGTACAATGGGAGGAGGAAGGGAGAGAGGGGGGGGGGAGGGGACGAAGAGGGCAGCCGTGCGGCAAATCCGCGCGACTGGGAAGCCCGTGGCGAATGCACGCGGGACAGCCCGCGGCAAACGAGCAGGACGTGCAGAGATGGGCGCGAAATGGTCAGATTTCAGCGCGGGAGATGCAGATCTGGTCGCGCGGAGGGCAGATCTGGTCGCGCGGAGGGCAGATCTTGTCGCGCGGAGGGCATATCTGGTCGCGCGGAGGGCAGATCTGGTCGCGCGGAGTGCAGATCTGGTTGCGCGAAGTGCAGATCTGGGCGGAGGGCAGATCTGGGCGCGCGAAGTGCAGATGTGGTCGCGCGGAGTGCAGATCTGGTCGCGCGGAGGGCAGATCTGGTCGCGCGGAGTGCAGATCTGGTCACGCGGAGTGCAGATCTGGTCGCACGGAGTGCAGATCTGGTCGCGCGGAGGGCAGATCTGAGTGCGCGGAGGGCGGATCTGGGCGGGCGGAGTGCAGATCTGGGCGCGCGGAGTGCAGATCTGGGCGCGGGAGGAGGAGATCTGGTGGCGCGGAATGATCAGATCTAGGCGCGGGAGGAGTAGATCTGGTCGCAGGGAGTGCAGATCTGGGCGCTGGAGTTGCAGATCTGAGCGCGGGGAGTGCAGATCTGGGCGCTGGAGTTGCAGATCTGGACGTGCCTTGGAGGGCAGCGCCTTAGGGGGCGCACGGGGAGGGAGGACAGCGCCTAAAGGGCGCGTGAAGGGAGGGCAGCTCCGTGGGTGGGGCTAGATCTGAGGAACGGGGAGGAGAGGGTGGCCTAAGGACCGAGGGAGGTAGGCGTGAGCCATTAGCTCATGATACCATGTTAGAAGAGAGAGAATTGATACATTGAATAATGAGCCAAGAGGCTCTTTAGTACAAACAATGAGCAAGAGAGAGATGAGAGGGAAGCTTACCCTATTGGCCAATAAGTTGGCCAATGGGTGAGCTTGCTTGTGACCCAAGCAAACACAAATGTGTGTTGGTTGGGATTGGTTGAGCTAAGGACCAATCCCAACCAACCACAAAATGTGGTTGGAGGGTACACTAAGCAACCCCCCAATTTATAAATGTGCTACACTTCTAGCCTATGTATGTTGTATGAAATATGAAATTACAACAGTAAAGTCGTCTTCAACAGGTAAAGTCGTCTTCAACAGGTAAAGTCGTCTTCAACAGGTAAAGTCGTCTTCAACAGGTAAAGTCGTCTTCAACAGGTAAAGTCGTCTTCAACAGGTAAAGTAGTCTTCAACAGGTAAAGTCGTCTTCAACAGGTAAAGTCGTCTTCAACAGGTAAAGTAGTCTTCAACAGGTAAAGTCTTCTTCAACAGGTAAAGTAGTCTTCAACAGGTAAAGTCGTCTTCAACAGGTGCACAGCACGTGGTGCCCGTGCACGCACAGCAACGGCAGCGATGACAAACATGTAAATGGCTTCTCCCAACCCTGTGATTTCCCGTCCCCCCTTTTCCTTTCCCCAGCCTCATGGTGCGCAGCGCAGCATGTGGTGCCCGTGCAGGCACAGCAACGGCAAGCTGCTGTGCGACGCCCTTGCCCTCCTCAACGTCTTCCTGGAGGAGCTCTTCGAGGTGCTCTGGGAGCCTCATGGTGCATGCTGTGCTGTGCTCTGCTGCACATGGTGCCGCTGCACGAATGACAACGGCAGCAATGGCAAGCCAAAGGCCCTCCCCAACCCTGTGTTCCCCCCTCCCCTCTCCCCCTTCACTCCCTTCCCCACCTCCCAGCCTCATGGTGCGCAGCACGTGGTGTCCCTGCACGCACAGCAACGGCAAGCTGCTGTGTGACGCGCTCTCTCTGCTCAACGTCTTTCTGGAGGAACTCCCCGAGGTGCTCTGGGAGCCGCTGCACGCCCACAGAGGGGCAGGGATGGATGGTGGGAAGGGGGATGATGGGAGAGAAGGGGAAGAGGAGGGAGGAGAGGAGGGGGGTGAGGGGGAGGGGAGTGAGGAGGAGGAGGAGGATGCGGGGCAGGCGAAGAAGGCTGTTTGGCGGCACTTGAGGCATCTGCAGCAAGCCGTGTCGCTGTTGGTGGGTGCAGTGTGGTGCTGGTGGGTGCATTGTGGTGCTGCTCGTTGCGGTGTGTATGCATGGTCATGCCCCCTGCCTCTAGTCCTCTCTGCTCTTTTCTGCCCCAAACTCTCCTCCTTCCCTCCACACACTCCCACCCCCTCGCTTGCCCAAGCCATGGAGCACAAGCTCTCGTGCTTGCTGCTGCACCTTCGTCCCCTGATCACTTGACAGAAACACCTGTTCTCTGCTCTTCCCTGCTTCTCACCCCTTCTTCACCCCTCCCATCCCCGCCTGACCCCCCAATCCCCCTTCTTTCCTTTCCCCCCCTCCCCCTTCCCCCCCAGGCCATGGAGCACAAGCCCTCGTGCTCACTAACACACCTGCGCGCGCTCTGCCCGGACCTGAACGCGAACCAGCTGGTGCATCTGTGCGTGTGGTACCAGGATGACTGCTACAGCACGCAGGGACTGCCCGCTGCTGTTGTCGACCAGCTGTGGGGGGAGGTGGACGAACGCACAGCCATGCTGCTGCAGGAGAGCCCCAGGTAGGCGGCGCCGAGCAGTGGTGGGGAGTGGAGTGTACTATGTATGTTCGTGCGGCGACTCTCCTTCTCCCACCACCCGTTGCTCCTCACACACCCGCACCTACACGCTCCCATCTCATATGCTCACACCTCACATGCCCGCAGATCACCTGTGAGCATCGCGTACATGCAACCTCACCTTCATGCAACCTCACCCCCACATGCTCACGCCTCACATCCTCCCACTGCACATTCCCGTATCCCTCCCATGCACGTCGCCCGTGAACATAGCGGACAGCACGGAGTGGTTCCCCTTCATCCACCACACCCCCACAATGCCCCCTCCCCACATCCTCCCACTGCTCATCCCCACCACTCCCCGTATCCCTCCCATGCAGGTCGCCTGTGAGCATAGCGGACAGCACAGAGTGGTTCCCCTTCATCCACCACGACGCCGCCAACCCACAGTTCCCCGCCTTCCTGCGCTCGCTGCTGCTCAAGCGTGCCGCCTCCTCCACACGCTCCTCCCTGCACACCCCCGCCAGCAGCACCGACAGCCACCTGCTGCCCCACAGCACCCCGCTTCTGGGCCCCCAGTTGCATGGCTTACAATCACATGGCGTACAGTCACACGGGATACAGGCACATGGGGTACAGTCACATGGCTTGCAACCACACTCTCGCGGGTTACATTCACCTGCGGTGCAGTCACATGGTGTACAATCACAAACCACCCCATCTACGGTGGTGCCCAAGTCCCCAGGAGCACAGTCTACTATGAGCGCACACTCCGACCTGCCTCTCTCCCACATGCCAGCCATGCAGGAAGAAACCTCCCCTGCTCCGCACCTCCCCCAGGCAGACCTGCCAGCTCACGCTGATGATGTGGAAGTTACGACTAGTGCTAACCACACAGACGCATATAACTCCAGTGTTTATCATGTGTCTGAACATGACGGGGCGGCTTATCAGTCTAGGGGGTTTGAAAGTGGAGCAGGGATTCAAGGTGGCAGGGGGAATCGAGCCAGTCTAACGGGTAATGTAACTGGGGGTGATGGTGACGGTGATGGTGATGGTATGGAAGGTACCAGCAACATGGGTGCTGCAGATAACACAGGCAGGGATGAGTCGCCACAGGCATCATCGAGTAACCAATGGGGATTTGCAGAGAGGTTGGCTCGCTTAAAACCAAACTAGTGTTTCTGGTTGGGCTTCTTATTGCAACACTGAGTTCGCAAAACCATTAAAACCAAACTTTTATTCAACATCACTTCAAGGTGTATTCCGGCCCTAAGGGCAGCTATACAGGGGAATGAAGCGAGCCATACACATGCAACTGCTGTTGCTCATTGCTAGCCATGGGTGCTGTTCTTCAAGTAGGTCCCACCCACCCATACCCACACAGAGAAGTACCGCTGCCACCCTTATTCGTTGAGCTCATTGTGCTGTGAGTTTAGCTGCACAAATCAGTTGCTAGTTACTGCAGTGCTATCCACTAATGCTGTCTGCTCCTTCTGCCTGCTGTCTCTTCCTGCTCCTTCTGCCTGCTGTCTCTTCCTGCTCCTTCTGCCTGTGTCTCTTCCTGCTGCTTCTGCCTGTGTCTCTTCCTGCTGCTTCTGCCTGTGTCTCTTCCTGCTGCTTCTGCCTGTGTCTCTTCCTGCTGCTTCTGCCTGTGTCTCTTCCTGCTGCCACTGCTTGCTGCATCTGCCTGTGCCTCTCCCTGCTGCCTCTGCAGCAAGCAATCCCTCTGTGCGTCTGTGTGGGATGCTCCAGAAATCCCTCTGTGGTGGATGCAGCAGCGAGGGATCAAACGGTCGAATCGGTGGAAATCCAAGCCAGCCATGTGCGCCCCACCTCCATATCCCCGAGCCGTCTGCAGTGGGTCTCCGGCCTCTACACAACACCGTGCAGTGCTATGCAATTCAGTGCGGTGCCGTGCCGTGCAGTGCTCTACAGCGTGGTCCAGAGCGTCGTGGGCAGCAGCATGGCGTTGGATGGCGCGAGCAACAACAGCAGGGTGGGTGAGGTGGGGGAGGTGGCCGTGTGTGGGTAGCACCTCCATGCACGCCCCAGGTATCGCCTCCCTCAGGTACTCGCTCACTTGCATTGGCACGGCAGCATCACTCTTTGTGGATAGCACTGTCACGGGGCATGATACCTGGGGAGAGAAGAGAAGGGAAGGGCAACGACGAGTGGGAAAGAGTTAATACGATGCGGAAACGGTGTTGCATTGCACGTGGCATGGCACGGTGCATGAGAAAGGAAAGAGGGTGTTGGTAATTTGGAATGTGCAGTAAGCAGGAACGTGCAGTAAGCAGGCACGTGCGGTAAGCAGGAACGTGGCAAGACTCTTGAAGCAGAAACGTGAGAGTCAGACTACCCATCTTCCTTCCCTCCTCGGCTATTCATCCCTCGGCTATTCATCCCTCGGCTATTCATCCCTCTCCCATCGCACCACCCACAAGCAACTCATCGGACCCAGCAGGTGCCTATAATCAGATTGGAAGGATGTTCAGAGGGCGCTGAGAGCAATATCCGGGCGCACTTGCAGCTCGCTCTCACACAACTGCCGCACCTCCCAACCCAGCTTGAGACGTCTCAACCACCTGTGCCAGCACGTGTCGGTAATCCGACTGGAAGGTCGTCCGGAGGGCGCTGAGGGCGATGTCAGGGCGCACCAGCAGCACGCTCTCAGTGAGCTGGCGCACCTCGGCGCTGCTGATGTCCCGCCCCACCATGAGCGGTGCAAACCCCGACGCCCACGCGATGTAGTTCTCGCGCACCGCCCGGAACAGCTGCTCCAGGTCTGCCGGGTCGAAGCCTCCCACGTACCCCGTGGACGGCTCGTTCAGGTACCTGGTGGTGGGGAGAAGGGGAGGAGGAGATAGGGAAAGGAAGTTGGGCATTTGAGTGAGTCGTGTAAAAAAAAACAGCTGCTGCAGGTCTGCCGGGTCGAACCCGCCCACGTACCCCATGGACGGCTCGTTGAGGTACCTGGCCAGGGGGGCGGAGAGGGGGAGTGTGCGCGATAAAGAACGTGCCAACGGCAAGAGCTGCTCCAGATTCGCGGGGTTGAAGCCGCCAACATAACCCGTGCATGTCTTGTTCAAGGTAACTGGTGGTGGGGAGAAGGGGGATGGATGGGATGGGTTGAAGCCGCCAACATAGCCCGTGGCGTGGATGGCTTGTTGAGGTAACTGGTGGTGGGGAGAAGGGGGATGGATGGGATGGGTGGGTTAATGCGTTTGAGATGTGCAGAATGGAAGTCAAGTCACAATGTACCACCGCGTGGACGGCTCATTGATGTACGTACCTGGTTGTGGGAAGGAGGGCAGCAATCAGAATGACTCGGAATGCAGAGCTGGTGCCTCACCTAGGCGAGCAACAACCCATGCAATTCTGTGGTTTCGAGCCGCCTGTGTAGCCTCACCTAGGCGAGGCGCCAAGCAGCAGCAGGCGCTTGAAGGCGCTGGGCTGCTCGAGACTTGCAAGCAGCGCCACCATGCCGCTCACGCTGTGCCCCACACACACCACGCCCTCCGCCTTCCCCTCCACTTCCCCCTCCGCTTCCCCCTCCGCTTCCCCCTCCGCTTCCCGCTCCGCCTTCCCATCCGCCTTAACCTTCGCCTTCCCATCCGCCTTCCCCTCCGCCTTCCCCTCCGCCTCCCCCTCCGCTTCCCCCTCCGCCTCCCCCTCCGCCTCCCCCGCCGCCTGGCCCCCCGCCTCCTCGCCTTTCCCCGCCTGGCCCCCCGCCTCCTCACCCTTCCCCGCCTGGCCCCCCGCCACCCCCAGCGCGTGGAGCACGTCGAGCAGGTCATCAGCGTGCGAGCAGAGAGATGCGTAGCGCTGGAAGTCGTACGACGCGGAGGGCGTGCTGAAGGCGCCCATCAGGTCCCACAGCACCACACGGAACGTGCGCCGCAGGTCCAGGTGCGACAGCACGCCGTCCCAGATCTGCGCGGTGATACGCGGGGTGGTGCGCGGAAAATGGGACGCCAATGTGGTGTTTTGAGGCGGCTTGTAAGGGGTACGAGGGAAGTAGTTGTAAAGGTAAGGGTCTGGCTGAGTGGAAGCATGCGGGAAAGCGGAAGCAGGGGGTACCTTTTGGTTGCTGCCGAATCCGTGCGACAGTAGTAGCGTCGTTTTGCCCGTCCCAATCACCCGCACGTTGTGGCGACGCAGCGGACAGTCGCACACCGCGTCGTCGGCCGTCGCCGGAGTCGCCAGCTTGGTCGTCGCCGGCGATGAGGTCACAGGAGGTCGTCCAAGTCGGGAACCGGAAGAGTAGCGAGAGGACGACGTTAACGTACTATCAGGTTTCAACTGCGAGTGAAACATTTTTTAGTCGACTCAAAAAGCGGAGGGGAGAGGACGACGAAAAGCTACGATCAGGTTTGAGCCGTGAGTGGAACGTCGACGTCGGCATGAATGTTCGCGGCAGTGAGCAGACTACTACTCGCAGCACATTATATGATATAGCCTGTTAGACAGACAGAGAAATTTCTCCAAGGCGCGAAAAGCTTCAGGCTGCGAGTTTTCTGCGGCACCACCTGAGGAATCCGCGAGAAAGTACCTGAAAGGATGATGGAGAATATGGTTGTAACCAGGGAATATGGGAAGCAAACTGGCCTACGAAGCCAGCCAGGGCAAATAGAGTGAAGTTGCTCCTTGACATGTGAAGCGAGTTGCTGGATATTGAATGAGGACGTGTCCCCTCTAGCGGATCGACCCTGCGTAGGTTCGGTATTGCTGCTACAAAGTACTGTAGCCTCTCAATCTACAATGTAACCATACTTCCGGTAGATATGAAAACCCTTTGAAGCCCAACGTAGTCAACGCAAAAGAATCTAGGTTTGGAAGGCAGGAACTCAGAGGTTCGGTTGGGTTGCAAAACTCTTTCTCTCACCACCATACATATGTTGCTCTACGGCATATTGGTACTTTAGGGGATGACATTGGTAACCATTAAGGCTCGGGAGGCAAGCTGTGGGCCTTGGGCTTAAAACTTGCTTCCACTATCTTGTCATATGCATGACGATCGATATGCCTAAGTGTCGATAGTGATCCGAATATTGGTGACGCGAAATCTGGGCTCACGCCATATGTGACAGACTCGGACGATCGACCGCGATCGTTGTCGCATAATCCAGTGAACGGTACCTAGTGATAATCACAATGCTGAAGAGCCTTGGTGAATATATCTGTAGTGTTGGCGTCTGAGACCATAAAGACCAAGCGTGCCTAGCCACATTGTAGCACCCTCAGTAGGAAGTACCGAAGCTCTATATGTTTCAATATAACCTCCAATGAGGGATTTTTATGTTAGAATCTAGCAGCAAGAAAGATTGCATTGAGCAGCATGAGGAGTACAAGTAGGAACCCATGAAGTGTTGTACCCCATATGAGCTACCCCACTACAGCCTACACAGACTATAGCATACGAGCTTGATACACCCCCATAGGCAAAGTGGAGGAGAGCAAGAGGTCACAAGACCAGTCAAGAGAAGCAAAGCAAGCTCAGAGTGGATCACAACGTCACCACACAATCTGAGCACAAACAAAGGGCCACAAGGCCAGTCCACATGCAGAGATGTATATGCAAAAGCAACAGTACAGTGATCACTACCTAACAAGAGCAAGCAAGTAGGTATATAGTATAGATCACGGTACAGGCAGGGTCAAGAAGTAAGTAAGTGAGAAGACACAGGAACAAGGCCAAGTGCAGTACAGAAGCGCTGATGGTCACGAGGCGAAAGTGCCTTGGTGAACACATCAGCAGTGTTGGCCTGAGAGGCCACGTAAGCAAGGCGAAGCTGACCACGCTGCTGCAGCTCTCGAGCAAGGAAGTAGCGAAGAGCGATGTGCTTCGTTCTGTCTCCAGTCTCTACTCGCGACACAAGGCAAGAATTGCCTTGTTGTCCACGTACAGAACTGGAGGAGAACGAGGCGCCTCGCCCAGGTCGGTCAGCAGGTAGGTGAGCCAGCGTAGCTCCTGTGCAGCCATGGCCCCTGCGTAGATCTCAGCCTCACAACTAGAGCTGAGAACAGAAGACGAGCGGGTAGACCGCCAAGAAATAGAACCGGAGCCAAGGCTGAAGGTGTAACCCTGTGACGACCACTGCGTAGCCAAGTCGTCAACCCAAGAAGCGTCTACGTGACCAGAGAGAACAACTAGACCCCGTCCTCCAAGCACGAGCCACATGCCCGACGTACTGCACAGGTAGCGCATCACCCTCTTAGCTGCCTTCCAGTGCTCTGGTCAGTGTCTCCCAGGCGCAATGTAGCGTGCCAGGATGCTAAGAGGGTAAGTAAGGTCAGGACGAGTGCAGGTCATCAGGTACATGAGGCAGCCCACAAGCTCTGGATACGGGCCATTCGGCTCCACGGACTCATCCGAAGGCAGAGCTGAGAGCGAGTGACCGGTAGGCAGAGGAGTGGACTGTGGCGAGGAGTACTGGAAGTCGAAGCGCTAAAGGACCTGCTGCACCATGTGTGACTGAGTCAGGGTGATGGTGCGGCGTGCTCTATCCTGAGTGATCTGCAAGCCAAGATAGCTGCGCACTTCACCCAGATCTGTGCACGCGTGTCTCTCCTGCAGCTCTGACTTCACTAGAGTCAGTGCCTCAGTGTCAGCAGTGGCAAAAACGATGTCGTCGACGTACACGAAGATGTAGAACGGCGGTAGCGAAGTGTCGGTGCATAGAAACAGCGACGGGTCAGTAGTAGAACGAGCAAACCCAAGCGCCGTCAGTGTAGTCCTCGGTGTGTCGTGCCACTCACGGGGTGCCTGGCGGAGACCGTATACTGGCCGCCGGAGGCTCCACTGGGTACCTGGAGGAAACGACCCAGTGAAGCCAGGTGGGCGGTGCAGCCAGATCTCCTCGTGCAGGCTGCCCTGTAGGAAGGCTGTGCTGAAGTCAAGAGAGTGAAGCTCGTAGTCACGCTGAGCAGCGACGTGCAGTAGTACCCGAAGAGTGGTCATCTTCGGGGTGGGAGAGAAGGTCTGAAAGTAGTCAACTCCGTGTCACTGTCTGAAGCCTCGAGCCACGTAACGCGCCTTGAAGACAGGCGGAGAACCCGGCGGCCGCTTCACCCTGAAAATCGACATGCCACTGACTATGTTCGCCCCAGGTGGGGGAACCTCGTCAACGTAGGTGCCTGTGGACTTCCAGGAAGCCATCTCTGCGTCCATGGCTGCCTGCCACTGAGAGGAGTAGGGACCCTCAACCGCCTCTGCGTAAGAGCGCAGAGTCGGGATGTCTTGTGCATCCGGGTCTCCCTCAGGGGCAAGCAGCATGGACACGAGATGAGGTGAAGCAGCAGCCAAACACTGGAACTCCTCCTGCCTGTCCTCAAGGACATCCGTGCCAAGGGCACACTCACCCCCGACGGACAGAGGACAGATAGACCGAGACTCAGCAACAAGATTGGCAGCGTAGTCTAGACAACAGTGAGCAGCAAACAAGAGCAGACGCAGCAGCTGACTCAAAGGAAGGGTCAGTGACAACTGTGGCAAGGAGATGCGAGACAGTAGGACTAGTAGCACGAAGGGAGTCAGACTTCGGGTCAGCAAGGGCAGGAAGAGAGGACTCAGGAGGCGACGACAGAGAGACACGCTGCGGAGGAGTGGAAGAACGCAGAGTCATCCGGTGCGTGCCGGGGACAGGGGGAGGACGCTGACGCGAACCAGGACCACTAGTGCGAGCAGCACGGACAGGCGACGCAGGACGAGACGCAGGCTCACGACGCTTAGCAAGACCTCCGGTCGGACCAGTGTAAGGAGACGGAGAAGGCAGTGGAGAGGCAGTCTGTAGCTGTGACGACGACTGGACAAGCGGTGGACTAGCTAAGGAGGGGGCAGGACAAGGAGAAGACGGGGAACCAAGAACCTGCTCAAGGAGCGGAACGAAATACGGCCGCGGCCGCTCAGCACCCCCAGAACCAGCCGGAACGGCACCAGCACCCCCAGCGCCAGCTCCAGCTCCAGCAGCACCTCCAGCAGCTCTAGTACCTGCGGCAGCTCCAACTCCAGAAGCACCACCAGTAGCTCCAGCAGCTCCACCAGCACCTCCTGCGCCAGCACCCGCAGCAGTGCCAGAGCCTCCAGCGCCGGCGCCACCAGCGCCACCACCTCCAACAGCTCCAGAACCTACAGCGCCAGCACCCGTAGCAGCTCCAAAACCTCCAGCGCCGGCGCCACCAGCGCCAGCACCTCCATTAGCTGCTCCAAGAACTCCAGTAGAAACACCTCCAGTAGTAGAGTCACCAGCTCCAGCACCTCCCGCAGTAGGGCCCCCAGCTCCAGGAGCGCGACCATGATGGCTAACGTACCATTCACGCAGCTGCCGTGGAGAGAGAGGGAGAAGACAACGAGAGGGCAGTGGTGAGACACCAGCGGAGCGATTACGAAGACGACCGCTCCACGGAGACTGCTCACCAGACGCCTCAGCACCCCCAGGTGCAGGACCCCCAGACTCAGTACCCCCAGGCTCAGCACTCCCAGGCTCAGCACCTCCAGGCTCCGCACCCCCAGGCTCAGCACCCCCAGGCTCCGCACTCTCAGGCTCAGCACTCCCAGGCTCCGCACCCCCAGGCACCGCACTCTCAAGCTCAACACCCCCAGGCTGAGCACCCCCAGGCTCCGCACCCCTAGGCTCAGCACCCCCAGAAGCAGCACCCTGAGCAGAACCACCCTCAGCAGGACCTGAGTCACCAGTGACCTCAACCGGCACAGTCAAGGGAGGAGGGTCTACCTGAGACACACCTGAAGGAGCAGGACCGGGAGCGAGGAGGGGGTCTACCTGGGGAGAGCCTGGAGCGAGGAAGAGCGGCGGGGGGGGGAGAGGGGCAGTGCGGTAGGGGAAGAGACGGTAAAAGGGAACCGACTCGTCGAACGTGACATCCTGAGAGGGGAAGACACGGCGCGAGGTGGGGTGGTAAAACTACCAACCAGGCGCGTCAGGGACAAAGCCAAGGAAGACACAGGGAACAGCGCGAGCAGAGAGTTTGTCAGCAGTGGAATCGCGGACAAAGGCACGAGCACCCCAGACCCAAAAACGCGACGCATCGCCAACCTTCCCCGTCTACAGCAGTGTGGGCGAGGTCTCCGGCAAGGAGACACGGGGCCAGAGGTTGAGCTGATGCGCGGCGTACTGGACCGCAAACGGCCAAAGAAAATGGGGGGCAGCCGCATGGATCATGGAGGTACGAGCGACCTCCATGACTAAGCCAATGCGGCGCTCAGCAACCCCATTCTGCTGCGGAGAGGCCGGAAGCGTGAACGTCTGGCGGATGCCGTGCTCCTCACAGAAGGCTGCCAAGAGGTCAGAGGAAAACTC